TTTAGCAAATTACTCACATAAGGGGTTATCACGACATCTATTGCATGGATATTTCCTTTTAAAAAGTCCGAAAAGTGTCATTTATATCATTTTTTTTATCACAGGCCAAGGCCCATGGGACTTAGGTGGAGGTCTCAATGCGGCCCGCGGGCCAAAAATTTTGGAGACCCCTGTCCTGTAGTATCGATGTTAGTATATTATCAAATCAAAAATATCGATATTTGTTTTGATAATATTAAAACTAATTTAAAATAAAGAAAAGTGAAACACGGATGTTATGATTGATTAATTTTATCAATAATTTGTTTACAAGTAGAACTAAAAAGATTAACCAAAATATACCAAGTAAACGATAAAACTTATAAATTCATGAAACTTTGGTCATATCGTCATAGAAATATGTAGTTGATAAATAATCGGGAAGCAGTCATTAGAAGAATTTATGTGAATATGCGTATTGTTTAATGTCAATTCCATTTTTGCTTTTAAATAATTATTGAGTAATTGCGATCTTGTATTAGTATTTTCATTAACTTTCGACCTCGCTATAAATTTTTGTTTTTTGTAAACTCCAATTAGGAAATCTAACTAAATATTACCTGAACATAACGAACATTTTGAATACCGTTAAAATATTATAACTGATTTGTGACTAAATGATTCAATCTTCATCATAGGATTCGATTAGTACTTTATAACACTAGGATTACTGTCATATATGAAAGGTATAGATCCCTTCCCACTTCCGGGTGGGTAACCAATATTTTCTTGATAGCTGCTAATAAACTGGAAATAAGCGATAAAGGATGAATTGCCACGTTTGCTCCAGGAACGTTAATCCTGCAGTAAACTGAGGAAACATAAAATTTTCTTTTTCTCATACTGGAACATTGCAAGACCAGGAAGTGCTTCAAAGGAATTTAATTCACTTATATCCTTTTATTTTAAACATAAATGACAACTATTTATAGGACATTTATTAGGTCGGTTATTCTGTTCTCCCTCTTCCAAAACTCCGCCTTCAATGAATGGGAAAGTTACGGATAGTTACGTGTTTGAAGTCTCATACATTCATTAACCATCATAATAGGCGTGATGCTTGCAAAGTAGTTAAACAAGAAACTTTGATGTTATTTTATTCACTACCCTATTAACTGTTCTGTGCACTGATGATTTTGACCCAACATAAACTTAGCAGGGCATACATAGCCCAACTACAGTCCAACCTAATCTCTTCTGTTCCTACTCTCTGCTCATATATTCACTCCCAAGACATGGAATTCAGCTTCTTTGTTTAATAACTTGTTCAAGCTAAGAAATGATTAAATATGGTCTATGCCCATTTGGACGTACAGAATTAAATGACTACACAAAATCATTGAATCCATAAATATTTACACACAGCAAAAGATCTACATGGTCTGTAATGCCAAAAGAAAAAAAAAAAATCAATATTCCATTTGTTGCAGATTTGGTCCTAAATAGAAATTCCTGACTTCTTGATCACCCAAACCCTCTAGCCTCTAGTTCATAACCTTTCATCCTAAACAATTCCTGACAATCCTCTGAGCTGTCTGAAAAGATGGCCCAGGAATTTTCTGAATTGAAATAATCATTGAAGTGCTACAAATAGGCTTCTTCACAACCTAGCATACTGTTTTATTTTCTTAAAGTATATTTACTTATTTTATTTTATTTATAATAATAACAATTTAGTCCAACCAGAGGGCAACATTTCAGTTGGTCGGTGCCAAGAATAATATATAAGATTTATAAAAGCTTAAAATTTAAAAAAAAAAAATTAAAAGTAATTAATCAAAATGGGGCTTAGTTTTTTAAGATTTTATTTAAACTAGTTATTAAAAAGTTTAGTTCTATTTTTAGTAATAGATTTTAAATTATCAGCTAGTTATACAAAAAGTAGAGTAGAACAATTTAAAAACAAGGCTGAATAAGGTACAATGGACAAAATAAACTTAGCATATTTAAATAAAAATTATATATTTCAATTTATAACAATTTGTAGATAAATAAAAAATAACAAAAAAGAATATAACATACATTAGGTATATTATTCCTATACTATTAATACTAAGGAAGGCTGATACAATTAATTTAAGAAGTCAATAATAAAATTTCAAAATACATTTTTATCAATGACCATGAGGACCATTTAGCATTAACAGGTGACTTAAAAAAAAATTGAGATAGAAACTATCTTTGATCCCAAACCAGTAAGAAGAATGTAATGAACTATAAAGAATTGAGAATGATGTTTATGTAATAGACTTAAAATATAATTTTCTAGACAAATTAAAATGCACCAGTATTCTGTAAAGATTGGAAATAGAATTGATATTAAAATGGAAACATAACAACATATCGTCGATTTATTGCAAAAAGTCATTTAAGTAACATTTTAATGAATTTGAAGTTTCTGATACATTAAAAAATACTAAAAAGCAATTTGATTATTTTTTTTTGCTATTTGGAATCCTGAAAATCTTTTCTATTTTCAACAATTAATACAAATACTTAACATATGCATAACAATGAAAAAAAAAATGAAACCACAACACACTATAATAATGACTTTTTACACATTATCATAGTTAAACAAAACATTAACTTACTTTTATAACCTTGCAATAACATAAAATGTGAATTAGACTTACCTCACACAATTAATTTTATTAAGTATCTGATCAATTAATCCACTGAAAGAAGTCATTAAATACCTGATAGTGACTTTTTCCTCTCTGAAGTCAGAACAACGTGCACTTAGTGAAACTATTTTTTAGGTATAAAAGGAGTTGTATTATTTGTAGGCACTTAATGAATTATTGAATCGATTAATATGATCGAAATTAACAACTATGTACCTTCAGGAAAAATCGATCAAATGTGTACTTAAGTGACTTTTTGCAATAAACCAAGGATATATTCATTATTATTTTTTTTTTTAAATCAGTAGTCCTGGAAAATTTGTGTCAGTATTTTATTTTAATCAATTCTGTGAAGATAATTCCTTCTATAAATAAGTGTATGAGCCAGTGAGAATGATATATGATAGTGGCGTAAATCAAAGTACTTACATGATCTATGTGTATTAAACATATTTCATTCAATCCAACTTAACGAACATTTACGTTCTCAAAATAAAGAATCTTGAAAAACATTTCTAACATTATCACCAGTCCAAATGTCAGGTAAAAGCATGACCATTAAATAAAGTAGTATTAGTAAGTTCTACTATTAGTTAAAGAGTATACATATAATGTAATTATACATAATTAGTTAAATAGAATTGTTCAACACAAATAGATTTATTGAAATATTGATATTGAAACCATTCAATTCAAAATAGGAAATCATGAATTGCCCAGTGAAAAAATAAAAAGTTAAAAATGAATTATCCAATGAAGGGCCACATTTACTATACTGTAATCTATATATATAAATGAATGTATGTCTGTCTGTCCTTTATGCATTACTAAACCATTCATCAGAATGGTTTAGTAATGCATCCCCATGAAACATTGGAAAGTTGTGTACAAACTTTGATTTTATTTCGGAAACCACAAAACTTGTGATAACTTAATCATGGCTCTACCTCTACACGCAAAATTAAGCAGGGATTTAGGGCCACGTAAACTGCACAAAATACAACAAACCGTACTCCTGTAAGCATAGTAAAACTGGAGATAAAAAATGAAAATACATTAGATTTTCTTTCTTTATTCCATATGAAGGCGTTAAATCTAAAAGTTTTTGATATTATTTTGAAGAACAACCACTCAGCTTTCCAACGGTTCATAATTTATCAATAGGCTTCAACAAAGGAACACAAACCAGTTATAACTGGAACCAGATTACCAGATTCCGTTCACAAGGAGGAGATTAGTGTAACGGCATAGTCGTAGTAGATACTAGCAGCATAGATAGGTACTAAACGGACCAATTAAGACAGGAACTATTAGAACCCTTAGGAAAATTTAACCAAATACTGTAGGGAAGCTATAAACTTAGTAGGACCTGTGGAAACTACATGGAACAATGCAACTAGGAACATTTAAAATAAAGTTACGTAGATAGATATCATTTGGACAAACTTGAAATAAATTCGCTATTAAAACGCCTGCCATTGATAATGTGTCTTATGAGCGAAATGAGTAAGTCAGGAAGATATATTTTATAGCTTTATACCAAAATTTTCCAGAACATCTGAATCTATTAGGATTTTTTAATAGTATTTGCAATTCTTATTTAATGGTATTCCGCCATATCACTTTTTATTATTTCTATTGTTTAATTGTTGTGTATAAAGTGATAGAGCTGGTTCCTCTCACCTTACATCTGAAAGATCTAGAGACTGGTTGCCACTGCTAGCAATATCCTTTATCCTTGGAAATGTCTGAAGGCTGTTACCTTCCTCCTAGTACAGATTATATCTCCCTAGATCTACCTCTATTCTACCTACCTACATCTACCAAAATATGGGAGTAGACAGTATTGATATCTTCTTATAACTATAACCTACCTCGATAGTCCTCTTTTGTAAGTCTCATATGACAGTTATCAACTGTATAAGACTTGGGTCGAGAGGGCAAATGATGAGAATGTATTTAATTTGTAGAATACAACAGAAACAAAGTACGTAAAATTTTAGAATAATGGCTAATATACACACTCTGATGATTAACAGAAATATAATCATTGATATATGAGGAAAAACAAAATTTTTATATTTTTTTCTCCGCTACGATTAAAAACTGAATAACAGACATCACATTTTTTAAATAAATTACTTTTGTGAATTCATCAGAACAATTTTTGCAAAATAAAATCTTATGAACTCAAAGGAATAGGTTAAAAATAATTATTCACAACAGACAAGTTGAATATAAATGTGATTTTTTTTTTTTTTTTTTGGTCTCCAGAAAAGTAGCAAAGCAAATGTAATAGTGATGTTTTTAATAAATGGTTTTAAACAAATTTACCTTTCACCAATTGATCAATATCAATTTTTTTTTCATCATTTTAAGGGTTCGTCACTATTTCATTGAGATTTTGTCATGATGTTATTTAATCATTGACTAACGACAATAATATCCATGCTTTCTATATTAATTATTTTGTTGCTGATCATTTTTCATTTAAATATACCCAATGTGGTAGCAAGAACACCCTAAAAGATGTGACTGGTAAAGAGTTAAGGTTTTACACTAACATTTTATAGCTTCTTCTTATATTATTTATACATCCTTATTTATTATATATCTTTATTTATGGGCAGGTGAAAAGTAAGTTAATTCTGCTTCACCTCAAACAAAGGAATCAGTTACCTTTCAGACTAAAATATCTAGTATCACAAAATCTCTAATCTTAGTTGAGATAAGCTTCTATAATATTAGCAATAAAGGGAATATGCAAATATATGAATATGATTTTACAATTAACAGCTGAAAATAAAAAATGAGTACTTTACATTATTAGGAAGTATTAATTAATATTGGTGTTAAAACAGTCTTATAGGTTAATATAGAAGGAACAAAAAATCCTAATTAGTCGGTAAATATACTTATTAATTACCAATTATAAAAATTGTCATTTAAAACTATGCTACTCCTGTCTGTTCAAAAAGACTGAGTGACTGCAATAAAATAACTTCATTACCAACACTAGTCCATCCAGGAAGAAGATATCTTGCAAATAGCTCAAGACATTTAACATTTTCTGGTAAATAATCCTTCAATATATCTGTAAAATATACAGCACCATTAATTTGGAACATATTTGCTAATGTATTAATAAATAATAATAAACAAATTAAAGTCATTTTTTTTATAAATCACTCTATACAGAGATATAGTCAGGATAACAATGCAAGCAATATTAGGATTTTCCTAAATAGAACATATGTAAAAAGATGAAATGTATATGACAATATTTAGGAACAATAGGAAAAGGAATATTCCTAAAGATCGAGTAGAGCTTCAAAACATTGAATATGTAAGCATAATAGATGATTAATACAATATTTGTCCAAGGAAAAATAATTACTTTTTTCACATAGCTTAAAAGAAATTAAATACATGTATTATAAAGAGCATGATTTATTTGTACATAATTAAACCTAATCAGTCCAGCGAAAGAGAATATAGTGTACTGGTAAATAATAATCAAGGCACAATGACTGTTCTTATAATAAAGTTTGTTTACCACCAAGTCAAAAACAATGCAGTCTAGGCCTGCTTCTAATATACTATTTTGGCTAAAAATAATTCAATTAAATGAGAATTACGTCAAAATAGTTACAACGTAAAACTTTAGGTTTAGTTAATATGGCAATTCAGATGCTATAAATAAAGTTGCACGAACTAAATAAAATAGTTTATAGCATTTACTTTATCTCTATTATCAATCCCTTAAATATTTAGTTACTATGAGAATATTCAACTAGTTTTTTAAACTAAGAATTATTTATTATCAATGACCAAGATATTGATTAATCTTTTTTGCAGAATGGTTCATGCAGACCTCAGATTGGGAAACACCTGGAGAGTTTCCGTATCCAGCGTTTCCGGAAACTTTCTCAGAGAATCCGGAGTTTCTATGGTACTGGGAAAGGAAAAACAATAGAATTTTATAATTCATTAAAGTTTTATAGGCTGTTTAAAATTCAAATATAAAGTATCATTAGGTATTTATTTTGTACTTTAGTTTATTTACTGCACACACAAAACTCAAACATATACCTATCACAAAAGAGAAGACAAGGACAGTTATACCAAGACACGATATACTACAAGGCCATGAGTTTATATAAGTTTAATTTAAAAATCTGAATAAAGAAATGATTACAAATTCTCAATTTTCAGTTTATACTAGTTAAGTTTGTAAGTACTTTATTATTATTAGGACATAAGAAGAAGATTCCAAAAATAAAGCAAAAAGTCTTCTTAACCCATGGTCATGATGAAGAAGGTTTTGTTTTTTTGAATCTTACAAATGAAGGGTCAAGTAAATAAAGAAGGATAAGTGACATTTTTGGAAAAATTTAATTATTACAATCGGTGCCAACCCGACATTCAGCGTCCTGGGCAATGGACATCATCTACCCTCTCTTTCCCCTAAAAAAATTTAATTTATTTCTTAAACTGTTTTATATCATGTAAGATTTAAATTTTACTTCATTCAATATTTCTCTATTACAGCTGCTTTATTGGTAGGCTAAAATTAATTATTTTAATAAGTTTTGTAACTCTTTTTAATTTAATAACGTTTTGTAACTTTAAGTCGCGAGCACCCTTGAAGATTGACTGGCACCCCCCCAGGCCGGCACTCATGGGCAATTGCCCCATCCTAAGGCTGGCACTGAGTACAATGGATGGGACAAATTTCCTACTTACGATCTAATAAAACCAATTATTGGCTGAGAACTGGGTTAATGAAGATGTTAAGTGGCAATATATGCTTGCCCTATAGTGAGTAAAAGTGACAATTGTGATTAAAACCTTCATCATAAACAAGTTTCTACTTTATTAGTGAAATAACTAATTCTGCCATCATACTGTTAAAGCTTATAACTCTATTCACGTTTTATTTAGTGTTTTTTTTTAAAGAAAAATTACTAGTAATTGAAAAATAATTTAATATTTAGCTAATAAGGCATAAAAAATAACCCGGCATTTCTGAAAAATACAAAACAATGTGAATAATTAAAAATAGGGAATATGTAAGTATCTGTAAGGAATATGTATGTCTAATAAATAACAAGATATGACAGAAACGGAAAGTAAAAATTGTTTCATAGTGGATATTCGTTACCATTTCTAAAATTTCTAAATTTAGATAAAAAATTAGATTTAGTCCAAAGGAAACAAAAGCATAAGAGATAAAAACATGACATTTAAAAATTTAAAATAGATATGAGAAGATGAATTTGAAAGTTTCAGAACAAAGAAAGATATTATGAAATTAGAACATTAAAGAAAGTTTCATTGCTAAAGAACAATAAAACTTCCAACATAATAAAAATTCAAAACTAAAAATAAATCCCCAAAATGAAATTGAAAGACAGCCTGGGTGAAAAATTTTTCAGGCCTTTAGCAGTTAGAGGCTTCAACGATCCCTAGAATTACCAAATAAAATCCTAACCCATCAGATTTCCTTCAGTACTAAGGCTGTAAGTATATTAAATTGAGTTAAATGTAAACCAAGAATATTTTTTTTTCTTTTAAAATTAGATGGTTTTCATACCATTTAAACAATGATTAAAAATTAGACGTCAACTTTCTTAAAAAAAATTACCCAGGTCAAACTTTGAATACAACTTTCTCAGAACTATAAATATGTTATTATATTAACTTGACTCTTTAATTGTACCCTAAAATTTATTTCTTTATTTATCTTTAACAGCGCAATAATTGTTTTTATTTTCATCAGAAACAGTGTCCTTACCATAACCATGGAGCTTTGTGTTGAAACCGATATACTCTGAAAGGAATTGTTAACCCAAGAGTCTGGAAGAGACTTTTTTCACTTCATGTGACTGGACTATGAAGATATGACATTGTTGCTCCTCCGAACAAATAAAATCTTAGGACACCCACTTACAGATCATGTAAACAATACTTTAATTATATAAGGAAATTGTTGTGGAGTGTATTAAGGCAACATCTCTGCGTTTTAGTCAGAAGATATGCCAGAAAAAATTGGATCTGACCTGTGGGGGTAGTTTTTGAAGTGAAAACTTCTTTAGGCGGGTTTTGCACTTTTTTGCAATCGTGAAGAGTGAATTAGATTGAGCCGTCAGATTTTTGATGTGTAACACTCGGGTGAAGTCAGCTGGAGTCGACTAATTGAAGTGTTTTTGCATATGGATTAAAATATCTCAAAAACTAAAAATCAGACCTGCATATTGTTAGCAAGGGAAATGTTAATCATTTCATCCTCTTTGTAATGAGCTATTATTCAAAATTGTATCTTAATGTGTTAGAGAGGTGAAAACAGAAAAAATAGTGTTGAAAACCAAATGATAACAAGTTTTATTGAATATATAGATTAAAATATCTCAATACCTAAAAATCGAACCTGCATACTGTAAGTGAGGGAATTGCTCAGCATTTCATTCTATTTATAATGAGCTATTATTTATAATTTATATTATTAATCTCGCTTTGTTGATGTTTTCACTTCTATCGTGTGGTCTAAAGTATACACCTTTTTTTTCTTTCTCCCACTTCCATTATATTTACATATCTTGCCTATGACATTAAACCAAACACAAAACAACCAATATATCAAAATATAAAACCTCAAAAATCAGAAAATAAAATAACAAACAGGTTTCAGAAACATTAAAAAAATCTTCTTTTTTTTACAAGATAAGTAACAAAATAAAATGGATTAGCCTGTCTATAAAAGGACAAAAAATAACTAACTTTGGCTTTTAGTTCACGATTTCCTTATATAGGCAGCCATATATCTTTCATATTATTATTTAGAAGAATATTAAATCATTTGAAAACAAAACCTTTAATTTATTAATAAAATAATAAAGACCTGTAAGAGGTGGTTTATGAGAGTGTAAAGCGCTTGGCACACTTAGAAAATATTTGGATTCCTCAGGATTTTTGAAATGTCGTTTCTGAGAAGCTCCAAATATAATTCTTTCATATGGTTTCTTTCCATTTGAATTTGTAAAAGAACAAACAGGTTCCCCACTCTCTGTAACCTGAAAAAATCAAAAACATAATTCAGATCAATTTCCGCACATAGTAAGAATGTAAGAAGTAAGAAATGTGTATTATTAATAAAATATTGAATATCACCAGAAAATTCCATCACTTACTTTAAGTGCATTATTTATTTTAAAAATATAATTACAGTACCAAAAATTCTTTAAAATGCTGATGACTTATACTTTTAACAAAATTATTCTTGAGTCAATTTAATTCATCACACATTTTGCTGAAAATGTGTTTAAAGTTTAACAGTTTACATAAAATATTATATTCAACTAAAAAAACAAGAGAAGTTCAGAGATATGAGCAACAAGTTCTGGACAAGTGTGTAAGAAGTGGTGCCTTGTGGTATAAATTATTGTTTATAAGTTAGATTTTGTTAATTTGTTTAGTTGGCACTACAGCCCGAGATGGACTTTGGCCTCTTGTACGATTCAGTTTCATGCATCCAGCGCTACATCATCATATCATCTTCCATTCTCTGCACATCAGCGAGCCAGCTAATTCTTCATGATATTATGAAGCAAATATATTCTCATGCTTCATTAAATCTTCCGGTTCCTAATTATTTCTAATGTGCCACACAGCTCTGGATGCAAACCGGACGAAACAACTGCTTGCTGCCCATGGGTTTATACTGTATATATCTTCTTGCAGCCTTCGTATTGCTTCAAGCCTCGGTAGAATGAAAGAACTGGTATATTTGGAGGTCACCAACATATAAATTGGAATAGAAAATCGTAGATGGAGTCGAGGAGATCAATAATACAGATGGAGAAAAGTTTCAGTGAAAGGAAAGATCGTACTCTTACACGAGTTAATAAAAGGTGAGGAAGGAGTTTTATTCGGAATGATAACTATTTGTGATCTATGAACCACTTTAAAGGAGGATGTCATGATTAACTGAATCAAGGGCTTTTGAAAAATCAAAAAGAGAACCGGGGCAGAGATTTTCTGTTTGCCTGTGGAGAATTGAAGGTCTTATATAATTTTTAGCAAAACTGACTGAATAGAAAACTGGGATTGAAAACCTGACTGCAGAGGATTGAGAAGAGATTTTTGCTCAAGAAAGGTATTAAGCATTGACTAGTCTTCTAAGCCTTCCAAAAACAACCTGGAATGGACAGGAAATCAACATTAGGAATGTACAAAGTCTCCTTCAAATAGGAAAAAGCCAGACTCTAGAAGACTGTCTAAGCAAATATAGGATCGATGTTGTGACTCTCCTGGAAATCAGGTGGAAGAAACAACTACTCTAATGGAGCTAAAAGAATATATCATTATCAATAGTGGGCATGAAGAAAATGTATTCGAAACTGGCTTCATGATAAGAAGGAATATAAAACACGCTATTCTGGGATTTAAGGCTATCAATGAAAGAATAACAATTAAAGGGAAAATTCTTGAATATATCTCTAGTAAGTGTGCATGCACCCACAGAAGAACGACCAGTTAGGAATAGTTTTTGATGAACTTCCCAAATAGGATATTGAAATAATTCTTGGAGATTTTAATAGTAAAATTCAGAGAGAAGAAATATTGGGAAGAGGAGTAGGAAAGTTTAGCCTCCACAAGAACAACAATGAGAGCAGTAGACTTCGCCTCTAGCAAGAACCTGAAAATCTCAATTACATCCTTCCAACATAAAACTATCCACTTGGAAACATGGGTCTTGCCAGATGGAAAAACCAAGAACCATATTGATCATGTAATGATTGATAGCAGCCACCATAGTGATATAGAAGATGTGAGAAGTTATAGGATTGCGGATTGCTCAACAGATCATTATCTGGTAGGGAAAAGATACAGAGACTAGCCATCAAATCAAGAGGAAAAACAGAGAAAGCAAGGAATAGATATAAGGTTGGAGACCTGAAAAATCTCGAGAAACAACGGCTGTAAATAAAACAAAATGGAAGAAAATCTACGAAACAATGCACTTGAAACAGAAGAAGATGAACAAAAGAAATGGATTAAAATAAGTCAAGCTGTAAGGAATGCGGTGGATGAGACGATAGACGAGGAAAAGAGAGAGAAAAAGAACAGTTGGTTTGACTATGAATGTGAAGTACCAGTACAAGAGAAGTCAAAAGCTCATGAAAAGATGTTACAGCAGAGTACAAGACAAGCCAGCAAAGAATACAAACGGAAAAGAGAAACTGTGAAGTAGCTCTGTAGATATAAAAAAGAGAAAAAAGGAAAAGGAAGATCTGGAAACAATGCTACAGGATTTTAAAAACAAAAACAGCAGATCTTTTTATGGCAGAGTGAAATAGATACGAGAAGGATTTCAACCGCGGATATCCTTTTGTAAAGACAGAGAAAGCCTACTCTTGGGTGACAAGAATGAAGTGATCAACAGGTGGAGAGACTATTTCAAAGAGGTGCTAAATACAGAGGAAAACTTTGAAGAGACAATATGTGAACTCGGAACAGCAGAGGATGTAGAGCTGGAACCACCTGATCCTGAGGAAGCAGAAGAAGTCATTATGTCCTTTAAAAATAATAAAGTACCAGGAATTGATGGAATCCCAGCAGAAGCAATCAAATCTGGAGGTGAAGCACTCCATAGAGAAATATAAGAATTAGTAATACTGATATGGATGAAAGAGGAAATGCCTAGTGAATGGAAGGTGGCTGTTATGTTGACGATCCATAAAAAAGGATATAAATTAGATTGTAGGAATTATAGAGGAATCTTATTACTAGGCATAGTCTATAAGGAGCTGTCAACTTTGCTAATGAAGAGTGTTATCAGAGAGCAGAAGTGGTGTTGGGCGATTACCAGTGTGGATTCCGCCCTGGAAGATCTACAATGGACTACATTTTTTGCATAAGGATGATGCTAGAAAAATACTGAGAACAGAATATTGAACAGCACCATTTGTTTATAGATTACAAGCAAGCATAGGACAGCATAAACAGAAGTGGAATGTATGAAAACTTAAAATATCTGGGATGTCCTTTGAACCTTATCAGGCTTATCAAGATGACCCTGCAGGACAGTAGAGGAGTTGTCAAAATTCAAGAATTGTCAAAAGAATTTGATACCCATAAAGGTGTTAAACAGGGAGATCCTCTGTCCCCAGTTTTATTCAATATGGTATTGGAAGTGGTCATGAGGTCGATCCGAACAAGAACTGGAGGATGTATCTACCATAGAGTGACACAACATCTAGCGTTTGCAGATTATTACTAGCATTAATTGGAGCATTCGAGGAGTGTGAAGTAGCCGCTAGTAGAACAGAACTAGTAATTAATATGGAAAACTAAATATATGAGGACCAGCAAGGAAGAAAGAGGGAACAGGCATATCAAGGGAACCGGATATCGTTTTGAGAGAGTATCACAGTTTGAGTATTTGGGCACGGTTATCACTGAGGATAATAAGATTAGAGAAGAAATTATGGTACGGATAGCAGCTGGCAATCAATGCTACTGGTCTCTAATGAAAATATTTCGAAACCAAGATATATCCAGAGCTCTCAAAGTAAGATTGTATCATACGGTCCTTCAGCCAGTGGTCCTGTATGGAAGCAAGTCCTGGATGCTGACATGCAACGATGAAAGGCTGTTAAACATGTGGGAAAGAAAAATCTACAAAAAGATTTTTGGTCCTACAAAAGAAGGATGAAGACAAACAAGAAACTTATAAATCTATATGAAACACCAGATATTGATGCCATGATTAAGAGTGCCAGGATAAGATGGCTGGGGCACGTACAAATAATGGAAAATAGCGGACTACCAAAAATGGTGATGGAGAACTCCCTGGTGGAAGAAGGTGCAGAGGAAGACATAGACTTCGTTGGCTGCAGGATGTAGAGGAGGACCTTCGGATGTTGGGTGACGAAAAATGGAGAAAGGCAGCCGAAGACAGGTCAGAGTGAAGGAGAATCACTGAGGAGGCCAAGGTCCTACAAGGACCATAGAGCCGTTAGATAGATAGATAGATAGTCTTCCAAGCGGGTTTGAAGATTTTTAATATACATATATTTTTAAAAATATGATAACAGGAAAATCATCAGCACCGAGTAAGGAATGTGAAACGTTGGGCAGGTTAACATCTGTTACTTTAACACGGTGGCGAAAAAATGTATACATGCAAATGTTACAAGATATAAACAATAAATACTACAGTATTATAAATTTTATTAGATCACAACTATTGATTTGAAAATGAACAGAATAACCTCCTAAATCCCAACCAGTCCGGTTTCCGGCCTGGCTACTCCACCCAGACTGTCCTCATCAAAATTTCCCAAGACCTTCATACAGCCATTGACCAGCAGAAACTCACCATCCTTATTCTCCTTGACTTCTCCAAAGCCTTTGACTCAGTAGACCACAAAATTCTCCTAACCAAGCTTAAAAATATTTCCTTCTCAACTAGTACCCTTAATTGGTTCCAATCCTTCCTTTCCGACCGCTCCCAGTATGTTGTAGTCCCCAATAACCACCCACCAGAACCTTTACCTTTGTCCAGGGGTGTCCCACAAGGCTCCTCTTTATCTCCCACCCTTTTTTTCATCTACATCAATGACCTTTCATCCTCTATCCTTCACTGTCAATACCATCTGTACGCCGACGACGTCCAGATTTACCTCTCCTTCAATCCAACTGAATCCTCTGGCGCCATCCAAAAATTACAGGAAGATATAAACGCAATATGTGCCTGGGCAAATCACAATAGGATTACTCTAAACGCCAATAAGACGAAAGCCATTCTGATCGGATCTCCCTCAATCCTCAAATTCATACAGATACTCCCTAATCTTTTCCTGAACAACTCACCTATCTCATTCCATAGTTCTGTAAAAAACCTTGGTGTTACATTCGATCAAACCCTCTCCTGGAAACCACACATCTCCCAAATTTCCCATCGTACTATCTCTACCCTGAAACAGTTTAACCGTCTCCGCTATCTCCTTCCATATAAATCCCGTCAACTCCTGGTTTCCTCCCTTGTGTTCCCCCACTTCGACTATGGCTGTCTGGTGTACGGCGGACACTCGGGAGAATTCGAGGCCAAACTTAAACGCCTAATGAACTGTGCAATACGTTTTGTTTTCGAAATCTCAAGAGATACGCATATAACCCAGTATTACACCAATTTGAAGTGGCTCTATCCATCCAACCGCCGTTTGTACTTTCTTGCCACTTTTCTATACCAAGTCATCAGAACTCAGCGGTCTTCCTATATTTTTCACAACCTACAATTCAAATATTCCATTCAATCCCGTCTCACTAGATCTCATACCTCTGACCTCTATCCACCTCCCCACTGAACTGCAGCGTTTGACAAATCCTTTATAATTCAAGGCGTCTCCATCTGGAATACCATCCCTCCCGATATCCGACATGTACAATAAGTTTCCTCATTTAAATCTCCCCTTTTTAACCACCTACTCCTTTCTCAACCCTTATCATGAAATGTAAATAAGAGAACTTTTAAAGTTCCCCCAGAAATGATTTTCTTTACTTATGCTATTTTATTTTATTATATAGTTTGTATTATACATATGTATAATAACAACATACAGAATGTTTTTAGTGTAATAGTTATATTTTTTGTTTTATTATTTTTTCAAAATCTTAATCTTAATAATAAATGTAAATAATTAATTTTATGTATGGCCACACAGGCATTTATTCTGTATCTGTAATTTGTCCTAAAGGAACAACAGTCCCAGGATAATAAAAAAATATTTTCAGACTAGTCTATTCTCAGCCATAATGGGGTAAAGAGGACTGAATAAAAAAAATTGTATAAGAATGTCTGGTTTGGCATAAGGTGTTAAGTAATGCCAACAGTACATTTATAATTTCAGGTGCTCATTGAAATTGATTTTTTATACAAATTTTCGAAACAGTCTGGATTTAGTAATATAATTTTGAATGTCAAAATCTATACAATAACAAAAGTTAATCAAAAGCTTTAAACGGCACTGAAGACTCTGTTTATTCTTGTTCAATCTAGAAAGATCCAGGTATAATACACAGCTATTTAAATGAATAGTTTCACACACGGATTTCATTCAGCTATAGTCATTAAGAGAATTGATGGCCCAGTCAGTTGGTTTTCGTCAGTAAATCCTTAATGATGATGGCTCTAAACAGTCCCAAGGCTATAGTTTTATGCTAAGTGTCATTTATTATTGTATACAAGACCTCTGGTAAGGATTGTATTTAAAAATAATAATTTATTAATGATAGTAATCAATAAATTGTTAAATTTATTTGGAAGTAATATATCTAAATCATTATTGTTATATAAATAGTTATTAGAAGAATATTATAAATTACAGTTGATATTTTAATATTGTTCACTAATTTTAAAAAAATGTTTATCTGCATGTGAATATTAATAAGTAATATTCCTCCCAGAAATACGTAAAATTGATACAATGAAGAATACAAGTTTTACTCAATCCTCACTTATATTTTGTTGGGAAGCCACGGAATGAATATCGACCTTCTTACTTTGGCCAGAATATGTTCATACCTTAAGAGTCCTTCAGGACATAGTTGGAACACATGAGGATTTAAACCAAAAATTAACAAGCTTTTATCAATTTCCTAGATAGTAATTTTTAGCTATAGGAAGAAAAACAATAAAAAATATTTATAAATGAATACAAACTTTTATCCAAAACCAAGTAGCAACATACTCTAGCCCCCAATGAGGGAAGTAATTTTGCTTAATGGAATTAATATGACTGGAACCATTTGTACACCAAATACCAACCAGTCCTGTTTCTTCCAAGTAAGTTCTAATAGGAATATTTAATATGTCATCATCTCTCATCATTTCATATCTGAAAAAGAGTAACTTACTTATTATAACAGTAACAATCTAAATAATATTAAAATTTTAATCTTCTTAGATTTATTGATTATTATACATATTTTGTGATTTCAGTGGAACGGTAATCGTATTGGAACTGAAAGTACTGTAATTGATAGAATAAATTAAAACGTTCTACATTAAACATATCTATTAGATATACAACAAACTCAAAAGACTAATTTGAAAATTAAATTAATTTTAAACTTATTTTTTTAATTTCCAAGTCAAAAAGCAAACTAAAGATTACCTTTAAACTTTAATTCATGAATATAATAACTTTCATTTAAAATATTCCAGGAGGAACTTCTATTAACAGAACACATATAAAGCAGTTTTGTCAAGAAGTTTTAGTATCAGAGCCTACATAAAAAAGTTTTAAACCTTTGATAAAGGTATGCTACTGGAGCAGTGTATAAGGAGACGCAACCTGAGTATCTTATATTCCTAGAGTAAGAATATGGGCCATATCAACTGTTAAATTGTAACTTTTTTTCAAAAATAAATTTATATATAAAACTTGTTAATTTTTAAACAATTTGCTTACATTTTGAACCACACCAATTTCATACCCTAAGCCAAACATCTAACCGAAGGAAAGGAAATAAAATAAATATAATATTACATTCTGAAAAATAATAAATTGTATGAATTAATTTATGAAATAAAACATAAAAATCATATTTTTAATTATGTATGTATCTAAATATTAACACATTTTAAATAGAGCAACAAAATAAATACATGAAAAATTGATCAAAATCAGTTATTCATGATAAAATAAGTTTCAGGTCCTAGAAAAGTAATCCTCAAAAAACCATCAGCCTTCTTGAGGTCACCATCTCAACAGCACAATTTTCCCTTGACCTTACTCCCACCAATAAATTTTTTGATTAAAGTTAAAGTTTAATTGTAAAGATCATTTTAAAAATACATGCAACTTTACATAATTCATTATCTTCACAAAATAACATAAAATATTAAGATACATTGCAGTAACGTTCCATTACAACATAAAGTAGTGAAGTATTTTTTTCAATTTTTAAACCCATATATAAAGTTTGTCATAAGTATTACCTACTATGTTAAGACATACTAAAATATGTAAATAATAACAGAAGGAAGATATATAATGTAGATATGGTATTAATCCATGAAAAAATTCATTTATAGCTGTACATTATTAAAAGTATGAATTCAAATAATAGGGAAATTTTAAGAGTATATCTTGCATTAAACTATCTAGTTCACCTAAAACACATTGCCACAATGTTAATCCTTAAATGAATTTATTTACTCTTACCGATGTGATTAAAGATGTAAAAAAAAAAAATTATTTAACAAATTGTTTATTTATTTTTTGCAGTTTGGCTCAAATATCAGACTTTTCTTATCTAGTGCTAATATGCTATATTTACTTTTCCTTTATTTTTAGAATTTAAAATCATCCCTAAAGTAAAGTTGAAAAAGTAAAAATAATAAAGAAATATATAGAATGTAATGCTGCATACATTTTGAAAATGATCCATAAATATTCTTGAAATGAATATTTAAACTGAAACTTTTAGAAACAGTCCAATACCAACACGTCTTAGAGGATGATCCATATATTGTTCTTGACAATTGTTTGTGAATTTATCTATCGATTTGGTATGCTGTAACCAAGGTAGAAAGGACACATAATATTATCTAATATCTAACACAATATTCTATATTTAATTACACAAAATATTTCCACCCAAAAGAAATAGTAGCTGAATGCAGAACTGTCATCAGATGATGGTATTCCAACTTCCTATTGCAGTTACAGCAATATATTAATAAATATCAAACTTTCATTTTAAATACTTGTATTTTTAATAAATTAAAATAAAAATATTAACTGGTAGCCTCCAAAAATGTTATAAATACATAACTGTAAAATGGTTTGTGTTATATTTTTAATTTATAAGCTGTAAGTAATAAATAACTTCACTAATTTAATTATAAAAAATATATATTTACCCCTCACAACAATTATTCTTTTTTTTTCTTCGGACATGCTTATTCCACCATGGTGGATCAAGCAAAATAAAATCAAACTTTTTATCTTTTTCATCTAACTCATTTAAATTACAGCGAATAAAATTGGAATAAGGAGGTATAACGTAAGGCTTATTATTAATTTCAACAACTTGGGGGCTTGAAATAACATTTGCTCCTTTAAGCAAACCATATTCTTTCATATTTTCCCCCTCTTTTTGTGATTCATAAAATTCATTTACAAAATTTCTGGCAGTGGCATTATTTTCCAATATATCGAAATGGGTTACTGATAACTGAAAATTTGAGTTATTTCTTGCTTCTTTCAGAAGAGATCCAAGTGCTTTTTGAACTAATTGTACCTAAAATAGAAAATAAAATTACAAAGATTTAGTCTACACATTAACTGTAAGGCAAACCATTTCCTACTTTAAAGGTTTATCCATCATTTAGGACTAAGCAAAGCTTCAACTCAAAACAAATTTCCAAATACTTTGTAGTAATACCGAATGTAAATATATATATAAATACCATTCATATGAATTTTTTACTCTCGAAATACCTATTAAAAATTAAATACTTCAATAATTATGAGACTCAATCATTCAATGTTATGAGAAAAACAAAAGATATATACATTATGATAAATGCCTACAAATTAGTATAGACATTATACTCTCCCTAGTTAAACTTGTCATTTGTAAAGTAAAAATTGAGGCAAATGGATGCCAAATGAACTATCTGGATGAGAAACTAAGAATCTGGGGATTGGTCATTTCTGCACTCTTTCTCAGACACAGTCAGCATCTTTTGACATTCCATAAACTATGTGATAAATTTATGTTGGTCCACCCATCATCCAGATGTGACATTAGAGGAAAAATTATTTTACAATATTTGATATGAACCTAGTACATTAAAAAAAATATACAAATAGAGGATTTATTTTAAAACATTTTTTACATAACCCTATAAGTACTTATCAGCACAGGGGAATATTTGTATCTATCATAAAAAATTATATAAGAGATCATTAAATGGAAAATCAAGATATGCCTATTTAAACACCCATGTCAATGTACACCTGGGATAACAATTCAAAGCTGTGCAGAGCTATCAATATTTTTTTAAATAGCTTTTCAATATTCCATCATTAACTGAACTATTAATTTTATGATACACAAACACCAGAAAGTTACATTATCAACACAACAGATTGAAGGTAGAACATCTTTATGATCCTATTGTCATACCCCAAAATATATACTTCATGTTCATGTTTTTGTTTGAAACTCTTAGTAACTGTGTTTATAGCAACTAAATTGCTACAGACTTACTTCAACGTCATTTGAAGCTAGACGTCTCCTCTTCCTAACTTTTCTTAAAGAACTGTCACAGGATAAAAATGACGCTAATTTTTCAGCTTCCTGGTCCCTCATAAATGGGGTTGTGATTTTAAAAAGATTTTTGTTATAATTTAAATCAATAATACCAGTTGGCGAATGTACGTTTCTGTAAAGATTTTTAGAATAGTCATAATGGGAAATAACCCATCCTTTCTCATTACTGCACAATATACTCATGATAGTTAAAAAATTGACTAAAGTTAAACAATTATAATTATGATTACGGATTCATAATTATAATCATAAATAAAGAATTCATAATCGGACCCCAAAATGATATCTAGAGCGTTGCAGAGATTTTACCGCAAAATTATTACCCGCTGAATTACAATCGATTAATCACATGTTACGTGTTATAACCAAAGAGCTACGCATTCCATACATTTCTTAAGATGTAATTGTGGGTTGATGGTTGACTATAGTGAATAATTGAAGAGAAGGATGCTTGGGATGATCAGTCAAAATAAAAAATAGGAAAAATAAATATTTATATTTGCAATATTACTCAATTCTTCTTCGGTGCATACTATTATTTTCAAGTTAATCCACTATCAGCCATATTTACACCAATTTAAAAAAATTGTTGTCACTTAATGACTACTCATCAAAATGACGACGTTTCGGCTCGTCGAGCCATTTTCAAGTCTAAAAAATTTTTTCATTTACAATCATATATTAAATTTTAACATATTTCAAATTATAAAGATACTTATTATGTACCTAAAATACCCATCATGTACCTGTCATATTCACTTATGCGAATTGCAAGCGTCTACAATATAATAAAATTCATTATTATTGTCATGTTCACCTTTAATTATTTAACAACATTATTATTACTCATCTTTACTATTACATGATTCAAAATAAGTTAAATTTACCATGTTTCTGAGTCACCCACATGTCATCCATCTCATTTCTATTCAGTGACTGGTTATTCTTATAGGAGTAGGGGAAGACTATTTATTATGAACATATATAATGCTGTTACTCAATATTACATGTGGATCTATTTTAAGTAATATTAGTTGATTTATTTCAAATTTTGATTTTTTCAATAGAACTAGCATAAAAAGTATTCATATTATCCACGTCTGTATGATTATTTACTGAGTTTTTTAAGTTTTTAGTTATGTATATTGATTCTTTAATTCTACGTTTATTCGTATTTCTTTCATTATGTAGGATTTTGGCATTTTTGAAATCAAACTCATGTTTAGTTTGCATATTATGTTGTGAGAGTCCAGTAGCTAATTTAATTTTTGTGTTTTTTGAATTACAATTTTGTTTATGCTGTTTAAGCCTTTTTTCAAACCATTGGGATGTTTGTCCAAAATATGCTTTGTTGTCGCAATTCTTACAATTTATTTTATAAATAATATTCGTTAATTTATCGATAGGTACTTTATCTTTAGTTTTCGAATAAATTGTATCTAATTTATTAATTGGTTTGCTTGCAAATTTAATTTCATTTACATCGTATTGTTTAAATGTTCTTTCAATTTTATCAGTTAAGTTTCTAATATATGAGACGCTAAAATATTTTTTAGGTTGTTGTTTGTTCCCATTACATTTTTCAATTTGTGTCTTAATGTCATGTATATCGTTCATGGAAGGTTTTTGTTTTACTGCATTTTCAGTTTTAAAATAATTTGTTATTAAATTCGGTTCTTTATTAATTTTAATATTTTGCTTCACTTTCTCACTCCTATCATTGCTAATGTCAATAATCTGTTTGTTACTATTGTCATTTATAATTAACTTTTTATTTTCATACCATAATTTATTAATTAATCGAATGGGGTACCAATTTTCTAATAGAATTTGATATATTTGTGCTTTGATTTCTTTTATATGGTTTTGATCTGTTATTAATTTTGCCTTATTTATTAAATTTTTAGCTGTGTTAATTATTATATGTTTCTTGTGGTTACTGTGCCAGTTTAGGATTCTATCACTAGTTATTGTTTTTTTGCACCATGCCGTGCTAAGATCGCCGCTTTCATTTCTGTGAATATACATATCAAGATATCTTATTTTGTTGTTATTCTCCAATTCCATTGTGAATTTTAGTTTATCTGATATATAATTTAGTTTATCCAGAAAATTAACAGATTCATTTTTATTTATTATTGCAAGTATATCGTCAACGTATTTTATAATAAGCTTCGGTTTTTTTCCCCATTTAATTATAGCATTATCTATTAGATTGTTCAGATATATGCCCGAAAGATTGATTGACATACATCCGCCCATCGGTAGACCATTTTTCATTTTGTAATAATTATTATTATAGGAGAAATAGCCATTTTCGCAAATTAATTTGATTCCTTCCATAAAAACGTTTTTATCTTTTATTTCTGTGTACGGTTCTATTTCATCCCACCGTTTTTCCAGTATTCTATATATTTCATTTAGTGGAACATTCGTAAAAAGGGATTCCGCGTCATAGCTTACTAGATTTTCGTTTTCCTCTATCCTATTTATACTATTAATTTTTTCTTTTACTTGCATTGCATTCTTCACATCGTATATATTTTTATTGTTTAAGTTGTTTAAGGCTGAGTTTAGGAATTTAGCCAATTTTTCAGTAATTCCATTTATATTATTTACAATTGGTCTAAGAGGTCTGTCATTTTTATGTAATTTGCTCAGACCATGTATTCGCGGTATAGTATAATGTCTAGTTATGAGTTTTTCTTTTTCCTTTTCATTTATAAATTTCATTTTCATTAATTTATTTATATATGTCAAGGTTTTATCCTGGATTTCATTTGAAGGATCTTTCCTAAGGCATCTATATATTAGGCGTTCATCCAGTAGGTTGTGCATTTTTTTATCATACTCAGTCTTAGTAATAATCACGGTTTTCTTAGTTTTATCTGATTTTATAATTAATAATTCTGGATGGTTTTTAAAAAAAATTTTTGTTTCTATTATGTCTTTGTTTATTTTTTTGTGTAGGGGTTGGTTTGAGATATTTTGTTTATTATTGTTTTTGTCAATAAAATCATTTATGTGATTATTTACTCTATTTCTAATTATATTTTTGTGATTATCAGGTGTGTTGATAGTTCTAATTATATTTTCGACGTCCGCTATTATATTAACTATTTCCCTGTTGTATTTATAAGGTATAATGTTGAATTTATCCCCTAAATTTTTTAAATTGGTGTAAATATGGCTGATAGTGGATTAACTTGAAAATTTATATTTATTTTTATATTTGCCAACGTTTCGGCTTGAAGTTCAGATCTTCAACAGGGCTGGTCAATCTAAGAAGCGTAGAAAGACCAATGACGTTTCGGCCCGAAGTTCAGGCAAGTCTTAGGCCTTCATCAGGGCTAAAAAAAAACAGATAACAACAGGTTATAGTTATGGAAACTATAAATATTGAATAATAAAGAATTAAAATAAAAATAGATAGCGATAAAATAGATAAAATTAAAGTAGATAGAGTGAACGTTAAAATAAAATAAAGCAGATAGAATAATAACAATAACAGAGAACTAAGAAATAAATACTAATAACGGCAACAAAGTACGGACTAATGAAACATAATCAAAATAAGGTAACATAAGAAATGAAAAATGGTAATATTAGAATAAAATGTAAAACAGAGAAAAGGAATATGAAGTTATATAAGGAAATAATAGATATTGTAAAATTTATCATAATAAACTGACTACATATAAGAAAATAAAAAGTTAAAATAATGTAAAAGAGATAAATGAGCAAATGTATCAATATATGCAAGATAGAGATGGAGATATGGAAAATAGAGTGACCGGAAGAAGGAAAAAAAGGAGAAAAGAAAGATAAACAGACCTGGCCAATCTAAGATGGGTAGAAAGACTAAGGTATAGCAAGAAAGAGTATGACGCCATCTGTAGCGGATAACTGAAATACGTGAACTAAAGCACAGAAACGTATATAATGGACGAGAGCTTTACTATAGATACATTTTATAAGTTATTAAATAAATGTGTAATTGAAAGAGGGTGGAAACGAGTTATCTGGAGATAGTATACACAAATAATGAGAATTATTTATTTTGACTGATCACCTCAACCATTCTTCTTTTCAATTTCTTAAGATGTTTGAAATTTGCATGATACGTTTCATCTAGTTCAAGATATGTTTCATCTAGTGTCTACACTGCAATGTATAATTGGTAATGTATAATCACTATGATAAAAAATTAAAATTTTCAGGGGATTAATAAAAGAATTTTACTTTAAACTTTGTACAATTACCAATTATACATTGTAGTGTAGACACTAGATGAGACAAGGAACGATGTCTGTAGAACGCATCTCTAGACGGTCTATAGACAAATCGCGCAACAATGTCTACTAGTGTGTACTAGGCTTAAGAAGTCTCATTTAATCTAAGAGTATAAAAACGTTCCCTATCTTATAGCATACCTTCTCGTAAATAGTTTGCAGACATAATAAATAAATGGCAGGGACAAAATTTGAGGGAGGGTTGCTGAGCAGGCAAACGCCTGTGTTAACTGATAAATTGAAACCTACGAGTTCGAGTCTCGTTGTTGGGAGCTTTAAAGTCTGGGATTAATCCCTCGCCCTCTATGCTAGCCTGGGAATATACAGTCGAAACGGCCAGGTAATGGAGAAAAAAAAAAAGGGATCCTTTCAAAGTAACCAGAACAGTATTTGGGTCATATGAAAAACTGATAACTGGGCTGCTTCTTCCTTCACTCCATGTTCTATGTAACAAGCCAAGTTCTTAAACTCAGCGCTGAAATTATTGATGGGCATCGGAAATCCATCAGGTCGTTCCTAAATTCAGCGCTGAGATCATTGTTGAGCGTTGGAAATCCTTAAGCGGATTAGCTCTGAGATTATGAACTTGCCCATTCTATTATGGTGTTAAAATTAACCTATGCCTCACGACCATTTTAAAATCTTGATTATAATATTAGAAAAGGTCAAAACTAGATTAATTAACGAAATATATTCCAAAATCTTTTTAAAATTATTTAATTTTCAGCTTAGTTCTAATTGAATTTCTATCGATTATACCTCGTTTCAATCGATACATGAGATTGTATAAATCCGGGAAGAGGCTTAGAACAGCTCATTATTTACTGATAAGAATGGAAGAGAAATTCGGTGTTTAATTATTATGTCAAAATTAATACTAATGCTATTAGTTGGTTTAAGTGATTTCTATACCGCTGACACAGACTTTGGCGTTCATCACTATGTTCCATAGTTCTCTAGTGTAATGTTAGTGGTGAATTGTTTTCGTAACCTTATCTTTTGACAGTCATTTCAGTTGGAGTGAAGTTTATGGGTATTTTAAATTTTAATTTGTGTTGAATTAAGCCGCTATTATAAATCATCTATATACGATTGCTTAGTAAATCCTTGCCTTTTTTTTTATTAATGTGTGTGTTTCTGTAAATAGTCAATTTTATTTTAAGTCAGTTATTGAATTTTAGAATTCTGTTTTTGATGAATTTTTAAGAAGACAGTTACAATGGAAGCAGTACCCAGATTGCCTATGTTGAGCTTTGAGTTGAAAGTGAGCTCGGACCGTTACCCTCCTGAGTTTGTCAACTTAAAACAGGTGGTAGTTCTTTCTTATCAGTCTTCAAATATCTGATTATTGGTTCATTGGAGGTGTTGATTTTATTTATTTATTTTAGTATATACGTGATTTCTACAATGAAGATCCAGAAACTTACTCTACAGAAATTAGAAATTTAGAAACATTAAGGGCTAATGCAGTCCATCCAGCCAAAGATGCAACTGGTTGTGCTGTGATGAAAAAATATTTTTGCCAGTTACATTTTTTACAAAGCCGATTTCCAATCGGGCGAGAAGAAAAAGGAGCCATATCATTTGTCTGGTTAGTAAGATGATTTATACTCTGGTATCAGATGACATTTGGATTTATTATAATTTTGCACTGTAAATCATAATTTTTTATTATCTTTTATAATTTCTAATGTACTCTTATTTCCTATTATTTTCAAGTATTTTCCCATTGAAATTCTATCCAGTCTTGTTGATTTGTATCAATTTTTTTTTCTGACTGTTCATATGTGAATAATAATTAAATTATTTGTTTTTACGTGAATTATAAATCCAAAACTGTTTAGTTATAGACAGAAGATTATGTTTAAAGATGGACTACTTGCTCATGAACCGATTCGCTAATTGAGCGATCAGTCATTTGGGGAAAAAAATAAATAGTGGAATTGCTGATTTGTCATTGACCATTGTTAATGAATTACTATCTCCTTGTTCAGTCTTTACTTAAAAAAAATTTTTACTGAGCCATGAAAACGAGCTTATTGCAGTGGGTGTAACTAATCCTTGAATAGAGTAGTGTTTAGCCCACTCCCGTTTTTGCTAATATTTTATGTGCTATATTTGTGTAATTAGCATCATAACCTTTGGGTTATATAAGTCAGAGCATATATTGATCATTGTTATTTTTTTATTGAAGGTTAATTTTTGTTTAATGTTCATTTATTTGGAGTTATTTAACTTAGTTTCAAATTTATTTTTTATAGGAAAGATGCTTATGGTGGTATTGTTTGTACAACATCTGATGTTAAATTTGAAATGGTAAATATACTTTATAATATAGGAGCTCTTCATTCAATACTCGGTGCTGGTGATGACAGAACAACACCTGAAGGGCTGAAAATGGCATGTACTCATTTCCAGTGTGCAGCCTGGGCTTTTCAGGTAACTGTAAAATTAGTTAAATATATCATAAATTAATTTAATACCACAATGAGTGGTCCATGACTCAGATTGTGAATCATCGACATGATTTAAATTCCTGGGAACTTTAGGATTTTATATTACTATAATTATTCAATGTATAGTTCTAGAATGGGGTCCACATGTAAATAACACTATGTATATGTGCAAGCATTCATATTTTTTTTAAATATGAAATTTAAATCCATATGTGTTTTAAGTCTTTAAATATACAATTATAATTTCTTTATGGCTCAATAAGACATTACTAAATCTAGACCTCCTGCAGTCACTACCAGTAGGTTCCATCTTGTGTTGCAGCTGCCAAATTTTGTGTTTCTTAGGGCTATTTTGGGTATCTATCATTTTTGCTACATGACTGACCCAAGCTTAAAAATCCTCATCACACCCATGTAATAGTACCGCTTTAGAGGCTATTATTGGTTCACCTTTGCCTATTATCTCCCTTGAGGATAGGACTGTAATTTTTTCTCAATTTTTTTCTTTCAAATGTGCAGAGCCAATTTTCATCTGCTTTCGTTGTGGACCTAGTTTTTACTCTATAGATTAGAACTGGCCGAATGAGGTAGGGCTTGTAGAACCACAATTTGGATTGATATCATCAGATGATAATATTTATATTAGATGTCAATATAGATATCAAATGTTGAAATCATTTAATTAAGATAAGATATCAAATTTCGATCATACACTTTTCCAAGTAGCTCAACTTGTCGACTGCAGATGGTTTCACCAGCCTAAACTTAGAACTTCCTAATGGTCGTTTCTTCAGTCAAGTTAAATAATATAGAAGCCACTGAATCTCCTTTTCTTGGATAATACCTTTATTCTAATTCCTTCTTGGCCATATTTTTTTCTATCCTAATAAAAAGTACAACCTTTTGAATTCCTTCACCATTATATTTAAGCAGTTCTGTTTCTATTTCGTCCTGGCGTGAAGCTTTATTATTTTTTTTCAGATTTTGAAGATTCTCTGCAAACTTTTCTTGATCAGATAGCATCTCCACTATAAATAGTCCTTTCCAATGCTCTGTAGTCAGTAGGCTTGAGCATTCCCTGGTCAATAGGCTCTGATAGTACTGTCCACCTTTCAGAATATTCCTCTTTTGTGTTTGTAAAACACCTGATTTGATGATCTGCAGAAAGTAGTTCTTGAAGCAAATCCATTCATATCATTATTTACTTTTTGAAAGAAGAGTCTTGCTTCATTAGAGCATCTAAGTTCCTCTTTTTCTATTGGTGCATCTTCTTTCTTGATATACTTCTGCTGTCAATTTACTAGTCCTTTCAATCATTTTTCTTTAGGATTTATTCTTGTTATGTTTTTCCTACATATTTCTTAACAACCCTGTAGGCAATAGGTCTTTTTGTTGGTATCCTAAGGTTCTTTATCTTATAGTTAACTCGCATATATTTACATTTTTAAATATACAGTTTTATATCTTTAGTGGATTTAGTTTTGATTTTTGTTTCAGCATTTGAAAGATAGCTATCCACAACCACAAGGTTTAGATTGTTCTCCTGACTTAATGCAGTTTATGTATCAACTTTGTCTTGCTCAAGCTCAAGAATGTATCCTTGAAAAAAGTATGACAGATAACAGAAAAGCTACCATAAATGGTGAATATGGAATACTTTTATTAACATTTTTAATTTAAATTGCAATGAAATAAATAATTGGGAAATAATATTCTCAATAAATTTATTTTGTTGTTGTGTTTCACTGTGAATGTTACATTAATTTAAAAATGTTTTAAATGTTTTACAGCAAAGGTCGCTGCGCAGATAGTTGATTATTACAATTTAGCTCTCAATGCACTTCTGCAAGGTTCTCCTGAGGACCCTGCCATAATAGACATTGTAGGATCCAAAATTTTTAAAAGTTGGAAAAGATACATGAAATTCAAAGTTTCATATTATTGTTGTATATCACTTTTGTATCAAGGTATGCAATCTGAAGAACAACAAAAGATGGGAGAAAGAATTGCATACTTTCAAGGTGCCTTAGATAAACTTAATGAAGCCATAAAATTGTCGAAAAACATTGATCAAGGAGAGGTATGTTAACTGAAATATTATTTTGTACTGATGGCCATTCAATTTCTAAATGCATTGCAGTTATTGACATTAAAAATAAATCAATATCTCACCAATATAGCTTAAATATTTAAATTACAATGAAACTTTATAATATACAATATTAGTTCCATCCTCCTTTGTTTTATCTTCTATATATATAAAAATGAATGTATGTCTGTCTGTCCGTCTGTTTGTCCTTAGTGCATTACTAAACCATTCAACCGATCGCCATGAAACTTTCGGAAGTTGTTCCGTACACTCCTGGGAAGGTTTCTGACATAGTACTTCTGTCTTACGATAATTTTATATATGTAAAAAAAATAAAAATGTAAATGTTTTTCTGTTCAAAGCCGCAAAAAAATGTGTCGCTATAAACTGTAGCGCCAAAATGGCTTTACAGATTTTAACGAAACTTGCCTAAGTCTTCCCCTTGAAACCCTTTTAATTTATGTGTATAACATACTTTCCCGAAAACATGCTGAAAATGTTACGACAGATTCAATATTCTATTTGCCGATAACTAAAAAAGTACACAATTTTTGACTGATAATACCTATATTTATATGAAAGATTGCTGAATTGCTGACAAAATAAAAAAAAAAATCATCGAAATCGGACGGTTCGTTGCAGAGTTATAGAGTTTTAAACATTTACTGCTTTCTCTTCAGAAAAGGCCGTTTTTGGGTCTTGTTTTGGACATGAGCCATCTTAAAATAAGTTGGTAATATAGTTGTTTTTTTTTTTTAAATATAAATAATGTTTCTATGATTCTTACAGCCTTCTTTTTGTTTTAATTATTATTTATTCATTTCTTTTCCTTTTTTGGCAGATTGTTAACGAAGCCTTAATTTTTACCAGAGACGTTGTGGAGGGAAAACGGAAAGCTGCTAAGAATGAAAATGATTTTATTTATCACGAAGACATTCCAGAATTAGATACCTTACCTCCTATCAAAGGAGCTTCTTTAGTTAAAGGCATTCCTTTTTCTGTTAATGACCCTGAAATTTCAGGACCAGATATTTTTGCACGACTCGTTCCTATGAAAGCCCATGAAGTTTCTTCATTATACAGGTAAAATTTTTTAAGAAGCTTTATTTTGTGACAAAGTCCCTTAAGAATAACAATGCTGTCCAGAAAAATAAAGATTGATTATAGCCTTAAGACTAATTACTGTAAATGAACAACTTATATATATATATATATATATATATATATATATATATATATATATATATATATATTTATTTATATGTATGGCCCATTCTGCCAATTGATACAAGATCACGTCCCAAGGATATTGTGATTTTGGTCCAAAATTTCTTATATGCTGACTGACACCAGTTTAAACCGAGAGAGAGGGAAGGGGATTAATGTCAGAGTTAAAAGTTCTCCCGGCAACTTTATTTTATCATGTAAAGTTCCATTTATCAGGTTACCGGGCAATGTGTGTTTTGCACATGTGTCATCCTGCTCAGCCACCTCACTCCTCTGATAATTTGAACTTTTTTTATTTTTTATTTTTTTTTTGCTATGAGCTTTTTTGTTGTACTCCTCTATCTCGCCTTTTAGGCTACATGGTGGTTTTCCCAGGCCAGGAGGTGAGGAGGACGGGGGATTAATGCTTTTGCAATATGAGCTATCAAGTTTTATGTAAAATAAAGAATCAGTTGTCAAGATGAAAATGATAATTCTTCTGTCCTACAGGTTTGAATAATATCTCCTCCAGTCTATGTATAAGTCTACCAAATCTTTTCTGAGATTTATATATGTATTTTCCTTTGTTAGAAAACTGCATGAGGTTCCTGTCAAACTGAGGATAACCTTATTTACATCTACTTTCCGTTTTAATGTTCTCCAGTTCATTTTTATTGCCATTGTTAAGGTATTATTAAGATAATATTGTTCCTAGCAGCGACTGTCATTCCTTACTACAAACCGTTTATGCTTTTAAATTTTGCTGAAACTGCTCATGGTAGATAGCGGTTGAATAATGAGGTTAGGTTATGTCTGTATTGTAGAATAATAACCATCCTGCCCATCCATTGATGGTGTATCTCTTATTTTAAATTTCTTTCTTATTCTTAGTATGATCATTTCAGTAATAAATACCCATATATATGTAATGAAATCACAACGGATAATGTTTTAGCACTAAGTAATTAGTAAATCAACAATTTAATTATAAAAGACATATTAATTTTTCAATGTTCAAATTGGAGTATTCTTGATATTAGTTTTTTCTATTTTTTAATTTATTTAATGTTAACTGGATTTAGTTATATTTGAATACCTCTATAAAGTACTCTTTTTACTTCAAGCCTTCAAAAATTCTTTGCTATAGTTTTGTTTAAATTTTAAACATTTTTTCATTTAATTTTGTTTGGCTTGATGAAATAGAAGAAAATGAAATTTAACATGAACATGAACATTATCATCAAAAGTCTTCTCTGATTTGATTACATTACCTAGAACTGCCGTACTGCGAACAGTTTCAAGGCTTCTAGAGCAGTTAGAAAGGAGCAGTCTGGATATGATGTCATACCTAGACTGCTGCGCAGAGCCGACAAAATATACTCCTTTCTATTCCACCAAAGCGGTGCCCAACTGCTAACAGTTGCTATGGTGGACAGTACCAACGAAATACTACCTTAAGTATATACCCTAGGATTCTATTTCTCTCACACATTTATTTTTACTATAATATATGTGTGATTCATTTTTATGTTTATGTTTCATCAGAGGTTCAGTTCTCCAGTTTTTACTTTCACTTACCTATATATGTAGTATTTTGTAAGGGAAAGTATTGCAATCGTGAAAATTTTCAAATCTGAGTTTCAACTGAAATACATGTTTTGAGGTCCCCTGAGTCCATATAACCAAGTTCCGCAAAATGATCTGTGTGCGAGTGTGTATGTATGTGAACATTCTACCTCAAAAACCAAAAGTTGTAGCAACTTTTTTGTAAAAATCTGCTAACTGTAAGTGCCATTTTATATCATTGATTTTACAAATGTTTACAATTTTCTTGAAACCAACTCTAACGATTTTGATTGAATTCATTATATCTATGTAAAATTAAGTTTTTTTTAGTATAACGTAGTTCTCATTCTCATTGATGTTGTCTAACTATGTTTAAATGCCTAATTTCCAAAATTTCTTCCTCTATAATATCTTTAATTTTTTTTATTTGAAATAGTTAACCATCTTCCATTCGGAACTGATATAAAAAATGGTTAAATATAATGAATGAAGAAAACTGATTAGTAACTAAAGGAGAAATTAGGGTTGGAACCTATACGGAAACATCTGAGAGCGCCCGGCCTTTGCTGATTCTCTCTGTTTACCGGTACCCGATACCCCTTTGTACAGGAAATTCATATTGTTAATTTAACTTTTATATATCACTTTTCTATACTTATTTGTTTAAAAAGGAAGTTAAAATTGTTTCACGCGAAATGTTGAGGATCTACTAATTTAAACCTAATAATATACAGTACTTACTAACGTTTTGTTATTTTTTTTCGACGAGAATCATGATAAATGTTTCCAATAAAACTCAGAATTTTTCCAATAGATCTATTTTTCCTACACTCATTTGTTTAAAACTATACACAGTCATAAAAAGAAATCAAAAGTGATGCCAATGTAAAAATTTAACAGATTCGATGGGCGGGGAAAACATAGTCATTAATTGTTTTAAATGAAGTTATACCATCATTTTTACTTTGATTTCCCTATGTATGAAAATACCTGTGTACTCTTATAAGGTTGGTAAGTGAAAAAGTTGTGTGATGCGGGCACTGCACCAGACTTTAGTCTTTGCTGTGAGATGTATGTGAATAGTTTAATCATAATAAACCTTTAAAATTTTATTTTCCCCTCTTATATTTCCCTAACATAGGCATCAATGTACAACCATCAGCCTGGATATGATTTGGTGAGAATCATGCTCAGTCTTTCGGATTTTCCCCAATTAAGAATTTTTAGAGGCAGAGTGTGTCAGGCTGGTCTTCCGATTCCACAGTCTATTCATAATTTACATAACAGAATAATTTATTTCTGCCATAGCCTTACTCAAACCTGGACTCAGGAGATGAAGCACAGTACCTTGTTAACTAAGCATATACTTCATTGACCCGCTCCGTGAATTAAATAAAAGCTTTTGAAAATATTTCAATTTTTTTGTTTATTTTTTATACAATTTTAAAGTTTGATGTAAATTAAACCTGTGCTACTCTGAACTTAACAAATGAACCTACATTTTAATAATTAATCTAGTTCTTTGAACAATCTGGAACAAAATACTTCTTTTGAACTAATTTTCATGTGAATGTATCAATTTGCTCATAACTAAAATGTAAATTGAGAAAAATAATAAAGAAGATGTACCTTTCATGTACAAGAGATAAAAAAGAAATACCGTATTAAATCAGGTATCAAATGATTACAAATTTAAGATGCTGTTTTTTCATTGGTGTAGGAGTTAGATGAATAATATTAGAATAAAATATTATAATTTGCAATTATTAAAAAAGCAAATTTTCATAGAGAATTATTTTTTAAATATTTAAAGCATTTGAAATTTACACATAAATTGAAGTTCCAATAATGAAGAATAATTACCTATTCTAATTTATTTCAGAAAGTGATAGTAAATAGTATTATTAAAAAAAACATTTTTTATAAATATTTAAACATTTTTGTGGAAATTGACCTAATATTATTTTTAAAATCTTTATAGCTTATTTGTTGAAATGGAGTTTTAGACTTCAAATTTAAAACACACTCCCTATTTAAAATTCAGTTTTTATGATAAAGTGGATTTAATAGTTTAAAAACATGGTAGGAAACCTGAAAGTTCAAGTAAATTTGATTGTTTATTTATTCAATAGAATAGTTTTACATTGCAAAATTAGAAAAATATAAAACTAATTAAATTATAAATCAAATGTTTATAAATGGTTTGGTATATATGAGACTATTTTCTGATATATGTTTTCATTTTATTTATTTTTTTAATGTATTGCAGTGAAGAAAAAGCAAAACTACTTCGAAAAATTAGTGCGATGATAGATGCCAAAGATGAGGAAATCGTTAGTTACATTTCTAGCCTTCAGTTAGAATATTTAAAAATCCACCTTGATTCGCCAGTTTTACCTCAGGTAAGTTCTTAATTAATAATCTTTTCGTTCTAAGTTGTATTAAATGTCCATGAAGATTTTCTTATTTTTTTTATAATACAGAAAACTTAGATATTTAGTCATGGGTGATAAATATTCAGGATACAGTCATTATAAAGTTTTTATTAGTGCCGATGTTTCAACCCAAACATGTGGGTCATCATCAGGGCATGGTTCGAGCACTGGAGGTGTTCAAGTACTCGAGTTTGAAATGTTGGCAACAATAAAAACTTTATAATGACTGCGTCCTGAATATTCATCACCCATGATATGTAAAACAGTCGACTAACTTCCTTTAATAATTAGATATTTAGTGTTTATTTTACAATATTAGAAGCTAGTTACCCTTTATTTGTACAATAATGATAATACTGAGCAAGGTTCTTAGTATTACCTTCTGGTACTGGTGGAGGGAGGGGAGGAGACAAGTCCAGCATGCGATGCGGACTCTGTCATCGTCTTTTTTTCTAACCCCTAATGGCTACCTTCAGGTTGCCGCCACTTAGCATTACCTAAGGAACCCTACGAAAGTTTTTATAATTTATATGACTGCTCTGCTTTTTAATATTTTTTTTATTTAGTTGCATATTGTTATTTTGTCATGATTACTAATAAGGTCAGTGTCCCAGTAATAGACACTTTCAGAGAATTTTACAACATTAATATGAACCACAACTTAAGTTCTGACAGTGGATCTTTGGTTAGCTGTGGTTAATTGGTAGCAAATTTAGTCTTTTACTAATTTTGTTTTTTTTAAACAGTTAATTAGTTTATTATTCATGAAAAACTTAGGAAATTCTGACAGCGTATTTTGTTCCAGTAATAAACACTCAGGCTTTGTTGTCAACATATTTTTATATATAATTAAAAAAAATTAATAAATATATTCTCCACAGTTTTAAATAAAGAAATGGCAAACTACAGATAGTCCTGGAGTCCGTGGCAAAAAAGTTGTCACATTTCATACTAAGAGTTGTCCTTATAAATTGACCATTTCCACAGGCTTGGTGAGAAAAATGCCCATCATGCCAGCATATAGCAGCTGGAATACAAAATGGCGGCCTGGTGAAGATAGATAGAGACACTATATAGGTAGTAAATGTATATATAGAGACGACTTATAGATATAGAAAGCTATCAACTCTTTTAATTTGTAGTATTTACAGTCTTAAGACATGAAACAATAGTCAGTTATCCCATACCCATGGATTTCAAGTAAAAAAATTGAATTTAAGATTCAAAAAGATTCCTTTTTTATTATTTTTCGCTTATATCGACGAAACTGCGTTCTATCTATAATGTGAAATTAATGCTGACAAAATTTGCAATAGAAATTCTTTTATTCGTTTTTTTTTTTTTTTTGCTATATTCTATAGTTTCAATGAATTATGAGGATGGAAATCAACTTAAAAAAAAAAATGTTTTTGCTTCGTTATTTTTTATTTTTATCATTATTTGACTCGCCAACTCTTTATCTTTTCATTTTACGAAAAAATCACACGGAAGAAAGTTGTTTAATATAAAATTTTCTTTAAGAATATATATTACTTTACTGTTTTTATCTTCAATCATTTAAAAACTTGAGCAATTGTAACTTAATGATTTAACTTCGGAACTAAACACAAAAACTTACTTTTTGTAATTTTCTTTATCACACAGCTCTTAACCTGTATACAAGACAGTATATGTATGTATATTCTATAAGCCAATGTATACACATGTATGTTGTCTTATATATAGATTAAGAGCTGTCTAATAACGAAAACTGCGAAAAGTAAGTTTTTCTGTATAGTTTCAAAGTTTAATCATTAAGTTACAATTGCTCTATCTAGCCTTGTGGTTGAAGATAAAATAGTAAAGTAATATATATTCTTAAAGAAAATTTAATATTAAACAACTTTCTTCCTCACGACTTTTTCATAATATGAAAAGATAAAAAATTTGGTTAGTCAAATAATGATAAAAATGTGAGGCAAAAACAATTTTTTTCAAAGTTAGGGAATTACGACAACAGATAACTATAGAATATAGTGAAAAAACTAATATTACCATTTCTATTGCAAAGTTTGTCAGCTTTAATTCCACATATGACATTATTATATATAGAACACATAATTTCACTGAAATAAGTAAAAAACCGTTAAAAAATAAGCTTTTTGAAACGTAAATTCAATTTTTCCACTTGAAATCCATGTTTATGGGGTAACGGACTATTACTTCATGTCTTAAGACTGTAAATACTATAAATTAAAAGGGTTGGCAGCTTTCTATATCTGTAAGCCCGTTCTATATATACATATATACTATCTATATAGTGTCTATCTATCTTCACCTGGCCGCCATTTTGTATTCCAGCGGCTATATGCTGGCAGACCTGTATTTTTCTCATCAGGCCTGTGGATATGGTCAATTACAAACCTTAGCATAAAATATGACACCTTTTTTGCCACGGGTTCCCGGTCTAAGAACAATAAATCAAAAACTCAAACCTATCTTCTAAAGGAAAGTTCCCTGTAACAAATACCCAGCCTTGCTCCATTGAAAAATCAACCAATCAGCTATTGTGGCATGGTATCACCTCAGGTTTAGACATCATCCTCCTAAGTGTTCTAGCCTCAAATCTAATTGTATTTGCACTCTCTTTTGGGCGTATAAAGCTTAATACATGTTAATTTGTTGAAAACTGTCTATTACTGGTATATTCACCCTAAATGATATATTATTTCTAGAAAAATGATTAAAAATCCATAACCAAAAATTTTTTAATTGTTATTTCACTGATAAGTTAGAATTGGATATTTATTTTCCTGGGACTTCAAAAAACAAACTAATTTTTTGATTCCCTGACTCTGGATACGGAAGGCATTACACTACATGAGATGCAATCTGACCCACTGAGTTCCACATGAACTGAAACATTAAATGAAATTATAATCTTATAAAGTCTTGAACAACAAAGTCAAGAAAATTCATGTAATATTCCTAGTTTCCCTTGCACTCATCATTCATCTGATTACCAAGTTTCTACTTCTCGGCTCAATAACCAATAAGGGAGACAACCTCCAAAATCTACCTCTGCCAGTCATTTCGGTTTCGTGTCACTGTCTTCCATTTTCAGGAAGATACAAAATCTATCTTTCAAATATGAGACTTTGCTTATCCTTCTTGTTAGCCATAGCAGAGGATTGGTCTAATGAGTGCTTTGTAGAGGAAAAATTAGTTTTTTCAGGACAAAATGTGATACCTCAATCCATAAAAGAAGCAATTCACTAAACATCACTCTATTCTTGATTTCGGCTCCAATATCATTCTTAGAGTTCACAATGCATCGAAAGTATACAACATGGTTCAGTTTCCAAAAAAAAAAAAAAAACATGTTGACTTCTATTATGCATTTTTTTTAAACACAATTTTGCATGTTTTATTATTATAATTGTAATTTTTACTTCTAAAATATTCTTAGGAGGTGGTTGATCGTTGTGCTGCTCTGAGTGCAAAACCAGATGCTATTCAAAACTTAATTGCTGCTATGGATAAGCTAAGTGATGCTTACCATGACGTAGATGGAATGTTAAAAGAAGTGATGGAGCTTATAAAGGTTATTATTTTTATTTTAATATTTATTCAGGTAGTATCCTCAGTCCCATCCTCTACACAGTGTATACAGCTGACATCCCAACCCATCCTGACACTGTCATCACCACTGACACATGTTTGCTATCTGTTAATAAAGATCCTTTAATTGCATCCCAAACTCTTCAATCACATATCACAAGCCTTGAAGAATGGTGTAAAAATTGGAGAATAAAAATAAATTCCAACAAATCCCATCAAATCACCTTTACCCTCCGTCGTAAACCTATGACTTCTTGTCCTACAGTATCCTTCAATAATACTCCACTTATTCCTGTTGAGCAAATCCGCTACTTAGGACTCCACTTGCATAAACGCCTTACTTGGAATCCTCATACTAGACTGAAACGACAAGAAACTGCTCGACGTTTCCAACTACTTCAACACTTACTAGACAAATGCTCCAAACTTTCAATTAATAACAAAAGACTTATCTACATAACTATAATAAGACCTATATGGACATACGGAGTTGAGCTTTGTGGCTCCACGAAACCATCGAATTCCTATCGTATCCAATCCTTACAATCCAAAATCCTCCATAAAATCCTTAATGCTCCATACTTTGTCACAAATAAAACCATTCATCAAGACCTTAATGTACCATATGTCACTGATTTAGCTCGAGCCAGATATCTATCCTTTCATGATAAACTTCAGTCCCATCCAAATCCGCTTGTTTCCACTCTTGCTTCTTCCTCGATTCCTGATGATCCTCCTAGGCGTCTGAAAAGGAGATGGCCTCGTGATCTTCTTACTTAAAATTATTTAGAGAGTGCTACCATTGGGTAGTATCTCTTCAAGCCTGTACATGCCATTATTTATATTTGCGCATATTTACTAGTTGTATTTGTATACAGTTGTAAATTCCATTAAATAAACAAAAAAAAAAATTATATTTATTCTGTATGAGTAAAGATGTATTTTTCTATTTTTTTACTTTTTAAAATCCCATAGATTGAAGAAGTTTCTGAAAAAGAATATCAAGAAATAATGGGTCCCCGCCCTCCTTCAATAGTTGCAACTGACCTTACTCGTGAAGCTAATAAATATATGGAAGCTCATAAGAAAGCTGCAGAATCAAATGAAACCCTCCACAAAGCGATGACACAACATATTGAAAATCTTCGAGTTTTACAACAACCTTTAAGTGATATTGCTAGCAACCTTCCCAGCTTGGATTCATTAAGTAGTAAGTTTAATTTTTTTTTTTCTTCAAATAGTTATATTTTTATTATACAAGTTTCAGTTTGATAAACTGACACATATCTGATTGCATTAAAAAAAAATAAATAAACCTGTATATCTATAACCTTTGAAGGGTCTTAGGTACAGCACTTTGTAAGGAACTGCTGTTTCTTTGTCAACTGTGCATGCAGATGATGTGACTAAGATCACACTCGACTGCCAGATTTTCCTCTTAATTAACTAATTAATTTAGAATGCTCACTTTATAGAGACTGGTTTCAGAAGGGTCTCCTGAAAAAAACCAACAAATATTTATTATTTCAATACAGTTTTTGCCAATTAGAAAAAAAAAATTATTTTGATTATTTATAATTCTGCTAAGAGTTTCTATATAATTTCACCATAGAATCTTAATAAAAATGAAATTATAGCTTGAGAACAATCAGAAAATTTTAATGAAAATTGCTGAACACAAAATAAGAACACATGCTGTTAATGGACTTTCTCTTCTTAATTTCTCCATGAAAAATTATCCCTTTGTCATTACCACAGAATGATTGATACCATTTCTTATGGACCTACTAACAATCTATTAGGGACAAATATGTTTTCTTTGTTGAGATGGGGGGAGGGGAGGAAGGGAGGGAGAGAGGGAAGAATTTCAGCGCCTTGAATAACCTGGCCGATTTAAATAATGTTTATTTTTTAATTATTGTTGTGTTTCAGTAAGCCCTTTCACATTTTTATTGTATCACTGATAATAAAAAAAAGTTTTTGAAAAAAAAATAATGAGATATTGATGAGTCCATCATTTATTGAAATCTTGGATGTTTTCTGTGATCAATTCTGAAATAAGTTGGGCAAATTCCTAAACTCAGTTCTGAGATCATCAAAGGCATCTTTTCACACAGTTCAAAGATAAATGCTGTATATAGGTGGATTAGTTCATGTTTACACTTCATAATTAAAATTTTACTGTGATTAATTATATCTAATGGCAAATAATTTACTAATTGTTATTTTATTCGCTTATATTTCATTAATATTGCATCTATTTCATGTGATGTGACATGATATCGCATAAATTTGTATTTTTTTTTATTTTTATTTAAATCCATAAATCAATAGTAACTAAAGACTAGGGAAAATTTAGGCAATTTCAACAAATAAAGGTGAAATCATAACCTTTGCCCTTTATATTTATTTATTTTACTTTTTGGTCAATCAGTCTATTTATTTGCCTTTATTTTATATGTTTAATTAATATGACATTTTTTCTCTTTTTTTATAGTGAAAGATGATCCAACAATTAAAGAAGTAATTATGTTAGTGGACAAAGTTGGTGAAATGAGAAAGCAAAGAGCTATGTTGGCATCTCAGCTTAGAGAATCAGTCTGTAGTGATGATATTACAGCTCAGCTGGTCACTCGTGTCGATGAAAGGAAGGAAGATATTTTTGAAAAGGAAATGCAGAAACATAATAAATATGTAAGTTACATTATATTATTATGATGCCATCCATAAGTGGCATAATTAGTGCCATCCATTTGTAACATGTCAGGTTATGTAATTCATTAGGACCTTGAATAAGTTCTCACTGTTTTTTTGTTAAATTTAATGCTTTATTTAAATTAAGTGAAAAAAACATATTTTGAAAGTATTGCCCATCACTAGCCACTACTTTCTCATTGAAAAACAACTTGTCTTTTAAGACTATCTAAGAATCTACTGATTTATTTTCATCTTCATAAGAATAGAAGTGCTACTCAGCCTGGCCATGTGCTATCAAACGAATCAAGTGATAATTGGAAGGGGCTATATATGGTGAATACAGCATGTGGATCAGGACTTCCCATTTAAGCTTTTCCAAGAATATTTCTTACCAGATACAAAAAACTTTCAATTCATACAACATCCAATGTTCTTGCTTCTGGATCATTCCTAATGCTTTCAAACATTTCGAAACCATTGTGTCATTTATTAGTAATGATTTCCAAGTTCAGCTATCATCTGACATGGCTTTTCATTAAGTAATTTTCCCAATTCTTCGTCTTCCAACTTTTTCTTTTCACCAGAGTGCAAAATTAAACTATTTTGTTGATCTCTGAAATCAGCCTATACCGAGCACTCTAATCCTAAGTTTCAATAAGAATTCTGTGAGCTTCAGCTACAAATTTCTTTTGAATAAAATAGTGCGATAACATTCCCCACAAATACTTTTAACTTGACACAAAACTCAACATTTTTAGAACTACAGAAAAAAAGTTGTTAACACTGTGAACTAACTTACACTAAGTCCAATCTTATCGACATTAGCTCATGGAAAATTCTGTCACCATCTGAAATCAAACACATAGTACTGGGGATGGGGATACCATCTGTTAAAAAACAGTGAGAACTTAGTTAAAGATCCTAATATTTATACAATTTATAAATTGTACAATCATGTACTAAGAAGCTAAAGAGCAACAATATATACCAGATGAGGATCTTTTTTTTCTTAAATATAAAAATCTTTAGTTGACCGTAAGATAAATCTGGGAGTTGATAAGAAAAAGATCAAATAACTGTTCACTATTTATTAAGTAATAATTGTAAATTCTTGTTTGTTTGTGACAAAAACTTAACATATTAATAAACTTAAAACTCAAAAATCACCCTTGATATAAAAGGTTAACATCATGTTACCCCATTTGTAGTGTACTGGTAGTAATGGGGAGGAACTAGTGTGGCAAGGGGCCCACATGGTCTTTTTTGCCAACTGCTAATGGCTACATCGAGGTTGACTCCCTATACTTACATAGAGGGGATGTCAAGATTCATTTCTTGGAGCTACCAAGAAATGAAAATTAACTGACCCAGGTAGAAATCGAACATACTAAGTCCAGAACTGGGCACTCTGGTATCCTCAACCCAACGCACTCGGCTATTCCGTCCTCCCATTTGTAGTATAAGAACTGTGCCTTATGCTAAATGTTTATTTCAAGTTTTCCTCTCAGGGGAATCCATCAAATGCTCAAGTAACTTGTAAAGATTAGATGTCATAATTTTGTAATTCTATCTATCTTTCTTGTATTTTCCCTGAAAGAAATAGACTTTTGCATCAAAGTTTTGGGAAATTGGGGATGCATTTTATATCTGTTTCATAACCCCTAGAACATGATTATGAAATATAAAAATACATACAAATTATGTTTTTATTGACATAGTTATAATTTTTCCTGTTCAATTTCTTATGATACGAGTTATCTGTTATTCACAATATTACTCAATTCTTCTTCGGTGCATACTATTATTTTCAAGTTAATCCACTATCAGCCATATTTACACCAATTTAAAAAAATTTGTTGTCACTTAATGACTACTCATCAAAATGACGACGTTTCGGCTCGTCGAGCCATTTTCAAGTCTAAAAAAATTTTTTCATTTACAATCATATATTAAATTTTAACATATTTCAAATTATAAAGATACTTATTATGTACCTAAAATACCCATCATGTACCTGTCATATTCACTTATGCGAATTGCAAGCGTCTACAATATAATAAAATTCATTATTATTGTCATGTTCACCTTTAATTATTTAACAACATTATTATTACTCATCTTTACTATTACATGATTCAAAATAAGTTAAATTTACCATGTTTCTGAGTCACCCACATGTCATCCATCTCATTTCTATTCAGTGACTGGTTATTCTTATAGGAGTAGGGGAAGACTATTTATTATGAACATATATAATGCTGTTACTCAATATTACATGTGGATCTATTTTAAGTAATATTAGTTGATTTATTTCAAATTTTGATTTTTTCAATAGAACTAGCATAAAAAGTATTCATATTATCCACATCTGTATGATTATTTACTGAGTTTTTTAAGTTTTTAGTTATGTATATTGATTCTTTAATTCTACGTTTATTCGTATTTCTTTCATTATGTAGGATTTTGGCATTTTTGAAATCAAACTCATGTTTAGTTTGCATATTATGTTGTGAGAGTCCAGTAGCTAATTTAATTTTTGTGTTTTTTGAATTACAATTTTGTTTATGCTGTTTAAGCCTTTTTTCAAACCATTGGGATGTTTGTCCAAAATATGCTTTGTTGTCGCAATTCTTACAATTTATTTTATAAATAATATTCGTTAATTTATCGATAGGTACTTTATCTTTAGTTTTCGAATAAATTGTATCTAATTTATTAATTGGTTTGCTTGCAAATTTAATTTCATTTACATCGTATTGTTTAAATGTTCTTTCAATTTTATCAGTTAAGTTTCTAATATATGAGACGCTAAAATATTTTTTAGGTTGTTGTTTGTTCCCATTACATTTTTCAATTTGTGTCTTAATGTCATGTATATCGGTATGTATGTGTTATGTATGTCATGTATATGTTATGTATGTCTTAATGAAAGCGGTGATCTTAGCACGGCATGGTGCAAAAAAACAATAACTAGTGATAGAATCCTAAACTGGCACAGTAACCACAAGAAACATATAATAATTAACACAGCTAAAAATTTAATAAATAAGGCAAAATTAATAACAGATCAAAACCATATAAAAGAAATCAAAGCACAAATATATCAAATTCTATTAGAAAATTGGTACCCCATTCGATTAATTAATAAATTATGGTATGAAAATAAAAAGTTAATTATAAATGACAATAGTAACAAACAGATTATTGACATTAGCAATGATAGGAGTGAGAAAGTGAAGCAAAATATTAAAATTAATAAAGAACCGAATTTAATAACAAATTATTTTAAAACTGAAAATGCAGTAAAACAAAAACCTTCCATGAACGATATACATGACATTAAGACACAAATTGAAAAATGTAATGGGAACAAACAACAACCTAAAAAATATTTTAGCGTCTCATATATTAGAAACTTAACTGATAAAATTGAAAGAACATTTAAACAATACGATGTAAATGAAATTAAATTTGCAAGCAAACCAATTAATAAATTAGATACAATTTATTCGAAAACTAAAGATAAAGTACCTATCGATAAATTAACGAATATTATTTATAAAATAAATTGTAAGAATTGCGACAACAAAGCATATTTTGGACAAACATCCCAATGGTTTGAAAAAAGGCTTAAACAGCATAAACAAAATTGTAATTCAAAAAACACAAAAATTAAATTAGCTACTGGACTCTCACAACATAATATGCAAACTAAACATGAGTTTGATTTCAAAAATGCCAAAATCCTACATAATGAAAGAAATACGAATAAACGTAGAATTAAAGAATCAATATACATAACTAAAAACTTAAAAAACTCAGTAAATAATCATACAGATGTGGATAATATGAATACTTTTTATGCTAGTTCTATTGAAAAAATCAAAATTTGAAATAAATCAACTAATATTACTTAAAATAGATCCACATGTAATATTGAGTAACAGCATTATATATGTTCATAATAAATAGTCTTCCCCTACTCCTATAAGAATAACCAGTCACTGAATAGAAATGAGATGGATGACATGTGGGTGACTCAGAAACATGGTAAATTTAACTTATTTTGAATCATGTAATAGTAAAGATGAGTAATAATAATGTTGTTAAATAATTAAAGGTGAACATGACAATAATAATGAATTTTATTATATTGTAGACGCTTGCAATTCGCATAAGTGAATATGACAGGTACATGATGGGTATTTTAGGTACATAATAAGTATCTTTATAATTTGAAATATGTTAAAATTTAATATATGATTGTAAATGAAAAAATTTTTTTAGACTTGAAAATGGCTCGACGAGCCGAAACTTCGTCATTTTGATGAGTAGTCATTAAGTGACAACAAATTTTTTTAAATTGGTGTAAATATGGCTGATAGTGGATTAACTTGAAAGTTATCTGTTATGTTTTTCTCATCAATGTAAGTTGTACCGAAATTGTAATCCATTAGGAGGATATATAGATTGAAATTGTGATTTTTATTTTGGTTGTTTATTCATATTACAAAAAATCTGTATGGGCTTGAAAAATATTTAATTATAATCTATGTTGTTATGTTGTTTCATATAATATGAATGAACATTGAACCAAATAATTTTAAACTACTACTATTTTTTTCTAAGTATATTTTTGAGTATGAAAACTTTAATTTTGCTGATGATAATTTTAATTAATTTTTTCAATTTCTTACTGCTATGAGGTAAGGAAAGTACTGCGATTGTGTCAAATTTCCAATGTGTGGTTCAATTTTCATACGTTTAGTGAATTCTCGAGAAAATTCAGGAAAAAAAGATATAAAAGTTTTGGGGCCTAACTCATAACGTATATATTCTATGGTAAAATTTATATAAAATATTTTGAAAGATTATTAAATTTCTGAAAACCAACTTGTCCATTATTGATTGCTTTAGTTAATCAAAGAAATTGTACTCAATTAATTTCTTTGATTGGTTTGTATTCAGGAAAATTTATGTAATTCAATTATTTTTTTTAATGGACATATTTAAAGTTTTATAAATTTTGTCTAAAATCATTAAAAGAAGTTGTGTGAGTGAGGCACCAGATTTCTTTTTTATTGTATGATCCATAAACTAATGATAGACTAAGAAGTGTAATTATTTGGTTGACTATTGCTGGTTTTGTGAAGAAATAATTTAATATTTCTTTTCTCATTCTATTTAAATCTTTAGAAAATAACATTATTTATTTTTTTAATGTTTTAGTTATAAAATCATGATTATTATTTAGTATTGTTGTTTTTTTAGGTTTCTTTAATCGAACAAAACCTTTCTGCACAAGACAAGATCCTTCCTGCCTTAACCGATGCTTATGCCAGATATGCTCCGACACGCAAAGCTGTTACTGAAATAATGAGACAGAGGGAAATGATGTTGTCAGCTCTTATCTCCTCCTATGATGCTTACGAGGACCTCATTACAAAATCTAACAAAGGTCTAGAGTTTTATAGAAAATTAGAAACCAATTTAACAAAACTTCTTCAACGTGTAAAAGGCACATGTAAGGTTCAGCAGGAAGAGAGGGACACCATTTTAGCACAGAACAATAAAAAGCTAGAACAAAATGTAGATACCAGTTCTACAACAACGTTGAAACTTAAAGATTATCTTAAAAGCAGAAAAGATGCGGAAAGAGCTGCTGCGGCGGCCAGTTATTATTCAGGTCAGGCAGGAGTTGACAGTCAGCAGTCATGGTTGCCAAGTGTGCGTCCTGCTCCTCTGGGATCTGAAGGGACTTCAACTAAACAGGATTATCCTTCATATAGTGCAGGATCAGGATATGGGACATATTCTCAAGCTAATTATGGTACTGATTATTCCAAGGGATATGCAGTACCCTATAATTATCAAAACATGGTTACCCCTGATTTACAAAATTTGCAATACCCAAGTTTAACTGCAGGTGTAAATATGGACAGCTCTTCACAAAAAGGTTATGTTCCTAGCATTCCATCTGCTGGCCCTTATAGCTATCCTCAGGCTGCAATGAGCTCCAATAGTTATGGTCAGTATGATCAAAGTACTACACTCACCAACCAATACAGTTCATTAAATCAGGATGGACAATATGCTGCAGCAACAACATCTTCATATCAGTCAACTGACAGCCAGTACCTTCAACAACCAATGCAACAGCCGCAAGTCATGGGAGCTCAGAATTATCAGGCCTTAGACGTTCAACAGCAACCTACTTCTATTTCCAACCAATTGGCTGCTTCTCAAGTGAAATCTCAACAATACACTCCTGAATCGTCTAAAAGTGCTTATACCTCTAATGTTGCTGCCACCACCGTTGCCAGCAATTCATATAACCCTCAAAGCAGCTACCAAACTCCTATGAACTATGATGCTTACCAAAACCCGTACCAATACAATGCTCAACAATGGTCTCAACCAAATTATGGTTACAATGCTAACATTTTGGCCTACAATAATCCTAATCAGACAGCTACGAATAATGTCTATGGCACTGGTTTGGCCCAGCAAAACATTCCATATGTAGCCGAACAACAATTGGTTCCTGCTAACCAACTTAGTCAGCCATACAATGCACTTAGCACAGTCACTGCTGACCCTAGCCAGTTGGCTGCTACCCTACCAATGAACCAAACTTTAAATCCAACCAATCAAATGCCCCAGCAGTATGGATATGTTGCTGATGTTGGTTATCATCAGCAAACTATGGCACAAAGCATGCCATCTTCAATGAATGATTATTCTCAGTATTATCAGAATTACACTAACACCTATCCAAACATGCAGTTCCAAGTGACTCCTGGAACTGATACCTCTCATTATAGCAATGCTGGAGGAAAGTCTACTCTCGAAACTAATTCTTCAAGTGTCACACCAGAGGGGCTTACGTATGCTTCACAATATACAGCTAGTACTGTACCATCTTCATATCCACACTATTATACACAGCCTTATGGCTATCAGTATTCAACAGTCAATCTCAATGCCACTGAAGTAACAACTCAGCCAGAAACACCTCAGCCATTACAGGCAAAATCAATGACATATATGCAGGCTGATGGTAATCAGGCATTAACTATGACTTATAGTCAACAACCTCAGGCCCAGAATTCTCAGCCAACAACTCCAGAATCTGTGAATAAACAACCCTCAAATTTAGATCTTTTGACTGGTCTTGATTTTTCGATGACTGATACTCCTCCTCTTCAGCCACAACTGAACAATTCACTATTGGAGACTTCCCAGGAAAAGATGGCCAACTTGTCAATTGAACCTAAACCTAGCAATACTTCTGTGGTTTCTTCTGATAAGGTTGAAAATACCAAACAGGTATAGGATTCAAAAATATGGTAACAATATAATTTTATATCCATGTAGTATATTTTTTTTTTTTGTAATTTTAGAGAAATTATATGTGGCATTTTAAAAATTTTATTTTTTTTATTTTCCCTTAATTATTTGTTTTTGTTGGTCCCTCCCTCTTCCACTTCTGTTAAACTTTAGTGTGTATAGTTACTTCTGCTCCTAACTATTTAATTTGTCTATAGTAATAGAATGTTGAATTTTATAATTTTGTCAGAATCTTGTTTGCTTGGCTTAAATACGATTTTACACTAAACTTCGTTGATTTTATGCTTGGTTTGCTTGGTTCTTAATCCATAATTTTGTTTTATTTGAATGTTTGAACTTCACATATCTGTGGCTTGTTGCTAAAGTGGCAGTGTCAATTTTGCGTAGTTTTTTATAGGATTCTTTGAAATTTGGAAAATTCTTATATCCATCTTTAATAAATTTACTTCAGTATAAGCAAGTGTGAATTTTCTCCTTGTACTAATACCTGTGTATTGTATTATTCTGCATCATAAATGAAAAGTGGTGTATTACGAAATTTACTTTTTATTTACATTCTTGTTTTATTACCATGTTATTCTAATTTGGAATAGTAACTAAATTTGTAATTGCACCGTCAAGAAGTTGACCAGGTTTAGGAAATCAAGGAGTTTACCACACATCTTATCACTTTTAAAAAATCAAGTTGTGTATGAAACAATATAGTAATAATATTTTTTTTTAATATATTAATATAAAAAATTGAAAAGAATAGGTTTTACATTTTCTAAAAAAAAAAAAAAAAAAAAAATGAAAAAACAACATCTGAACAAGAAGAAAAAATCGTGAATTATAATTAAATTATTATAATTTATGTTTAAAAAATTATATAAGATGTCTGTCCTCAACGAATGGTTCTTATAACATTTTGCCGAGACTAGTGTCATAAAACTAGAGGCTTTGATCTTACAATGAGAGAAGGAGAACTTAATGCCAAGGACTAGTCATCACCAGCAATCATCCAGTTAAAAGATTATTGTAAGTAATTATGTGTCTTATAAAAAGTTGATCATAGACTTATAAAACTTAGAAACTATAACAGATATGATTATGAAAATGTTACTACCATCGACCAAAAATTAAGTTTTTGGCTTTAACCCTTTAAGCACCAAGTTACAGGTATGCTTGGAAGCTAAAATATCATTTTTTTCATTGTCTGTTGCTTTTATAGTTTAATTAATCAATTGAATTTGGCTGTTGTTTATTTCTTAGTTCATGGAAAGAGGATGTTGGTTGAACCGGGTATATTTTATGAGTTTTAGACAATTTATCCCAAACTATGTTGGCTTGTTCCAAATAGGACTATCTATAATATACCAATATTGATTTGTTTAAGCAAAATTAAAATAATAAGTTGTATGGTTGAGAGCCACAGATCAAATTAAATGTTTAAGCGTTGGAAGTTTTGAATGACCAATCCTCAAATAATAATCACTAATAATTTTGTAGAATCAAACCATGCTTCAGAATTAATGCTCTGCTCACTCATATTTTTTTAATGTCACACCCTAAACTTACATTTAATTCCATTCTACTAGATAGCTGATATTGCTTAGATTGTCTAATCTCAAAGACTTGTTGAGTTTTTAAATTGTTATTACGAACTCATCGTGTCCTTCTGATTAATAATTAATGTGTCTTTGTAGCCATTATTGTACCAAATAATAAAAATTAAAAAATCTACTAATGAAAATCAAATAGTTTTTTTATCCAAGCAAATAAATTGAGTGAGAACAGGAAATCTACTTTTTTTTTTTCTAACCCTCCAAAAAGTTTATTTAATTACAATTACATATATAAGCATAACAAATACCAATATATACAAAGATCAAGGTCCTTCCACTGCTCGTGGCATTTTAAGGATTGGAAATAGGTAAGCCTATCATTTGTTGCACAAGGTCTTGTAACTTTCATGGAACGAGTAGAGACCGGTCTGCTGGTTATTTATTATTTGCAACATATAAAAATTAATGGGTTTGAACCACAGAGTCCAGACCACATCCTGCGGCGAATATGTCCACCAAAAGGAGTTTTCCTCGCCACCTCCCAGGTCTGGGTGGTGGTGAGATCTCATTAAATAGTGGGTTCGCACAGGCCTTCAGCCCATCAAAAAATTTGATGTGCCTTCGGCCTATGAACTCAGGTACCAAGGGGAGCTGGATCTCCTCTCGTATTATTTGATTCTGAGCCCGTTGTAGGTAGGTGCTATATTGGTGCTACGGACAATTAATGCTCGCCATTAATTCTGGAAGGATAGAGTTCTGGAAGTCCTGTAGACTCGTAAGCGTGGATTTATACAGGTAGCGCAAGAGAGGAACGCCTTGGAGCAATGTAGTTCTTATTATAACTTTATAAATTTGGAGCTTGGCTCTCAACGAGAGCTGCGGCAACTTCAGTAAGGGGTAGAGCCGGTGTGACTTATGCCGTGCCAGCTTGATTTTCTGCCTAATGTGATTGGAGAAGGTTAAATGTCTATCCAGTGTAACCCCAAGTTGACGATTGAGGTGGAGTTTTTATGATCAGCTCCTCCAACGGTGAAGTGTATGGGTAGAGGCTTCTTTCCCTTCTTTAAGGGCATGATAATTCTTCGCAGGGTTCAATCTGATACCGATCGCTTCTAGTTCTTCAACAATGGTGGCTGAAGCATTCTGTGCCAGAGTGATTGCAGTCCCCATGCTGAAAGCATATATGCCATTGTCATCCGCATAGGCTGATACCACCGCCTCTGGATGCTTGGGTGCCACTACTGGCGCTGTTAAAACAACAAACAGTATTGGTCCTGACACAGACCCTTGAGGTACACCGCAGGTGCTATCGATTGGGATTGAGTAGTCTGTACCAACTCTTACGACAAGAGATCTTCCACTGAGGTAGCTTTGGATCAGTCAGCATAGAGTGGCAGGAAACCTGAACTCTTCCAGACGGTGAAGTACATGCGTGTGGGACACGCAGTCAAAGGTCTGGCTGCAGTCCAGAGAGATGAGCGCCGTTACTCTGTTGGCTCATTTCATTTATTGTGTGGGCCTGGAGTTTAGCTAGCTGGTGTTCATACGCGACTTGCTTGCGTAAGATTAGAGGCTAATCCACCACCCACTTGCTTGTGAAGTGCTTCATAAGGGGGTGGTGGATTAGCCCCTTGAAAATCTTGCTGATGTGCGAGAGGAGGCTGATCGGACGATAGTGCTCAGCTGTCCCCTTTATTCACCGGCTTGAGTAACTGTACTACAATCGCTTGTTTCCATGCGGTGGGAAAGTATGAGATTTGAAGGCATGAGTTGAAGATGTTCAGTAGAAAGGCTTTACCCTTTCTAGGGAGCATGTTCAGCAGTACTTACGGAATCCCATCCAGTCCAGACGCTTTGTTTCCTTTGGTGCACCGTAATGTCGACTCCAGCTAGTTGAAAGTAGAGAAGACAGGTTCATCGCTAGAACTGGTTAGTGGTCCTTCAGGTATTGGTGGTGTATTTCTAGTCCGCTCAGCATCCCTCTCTTCATAGCTTTTGGCCAGGAGTTCAGTCTGTTCCTTAGGTGTCAGCAGCTCATTCCCCGACGTCAGGTGGACAGTCCTCTTCTTGTTAACGAATGTCATAATCAGTCTCCAGCACTGTAGGTGGTCATCATGTGTCCTTTGGAGCTGCTCATGCCAGAGTGAGGTCTTCCAGTCACACATGAGGCTGGCTATCTACCGGGTCATTGCATTGATGGCCGATTTCGCGCCGGTTGATCGCCGGTTTGATTGGCGCGTGCACTGAAAGATGTTCCTCAGGTTGTTCCTCTGACTGATTAAGGTGAGGATGTAACGTGTTGGTCTCTTTTTTAAATCCTTTAAGCCCCCTTGAGTCTTGAAGCTACCTGTCTAATAGTTAATTCAAAGGCATGAGGATTTTTTCCTTGGTATTTAGAAAAAATATCTTATCATGTTATATTAGTCCCTCGCCAATATTTAAAATAAATTAGTTGTAACTTTCTTGCCTGAAAATTCAACTCTTATAAGTTTTTCTTTTGGGAAATCTTTAAATTGATATGAGGTATCGGTTAAATTTTTTAAAGTTAGAGACAATTTATGTTTTTGTGTTTTTCAATAACATCTGTTATTTTTGTTTTTTTCAAAACGATTAAACTGAATTCCTTAAAGATGTATAAGATTATTTCTACTAAAACACGAATTACAACAAAAAGGTTCATTGGATAATAATGCAAAATAAAAATTGTCAATCATTACTCTCCCCAAAAAGAAATAATACACCCAATATCATATTACAAGTACTATTGTAATACTTCAATCGCAGTGTTCAGTTTTTCAATGTGAATAAAAAAAAAAATTCAATCATTTACTTTTTATTCACATTCACCTTCTAAAATAATAACCATAAACATTCATTTTAGCTACTAGAGATAAATAAAAATATATTGATTCTGTTTATAAAATTACTAAAAAACTAAAAAAATTAACTGAATGTATAGTCACTAATTCTCTCAAAGCTCTGGAGCACTGACATTTGGTAAAGGTTTAACATAAAATTTAGGCAATGGTGACAGCATGTTTGAATTGCAAATTGAATTTGGAACAGCACGAGTTAATTTTTTTTTTCTCACTTCAGCAAGAAGTTGATGGTAACTTTCAGCAATGTTTTTATCACTAGAACTCTTTGAAATTTCTATGATAACTATATTTTGATTTGTAATACAAATTTTATTATTATCTCTGTTTTAATTTGGACATTCCACTTTATCTTTTTAAATCATCTATAGTACAAAAAATATCAGCTTATCTTGGTGCTGTCATTTTTTAAATATGTTTAATTATAACCAAATTTAAAGAGCAGCTGTAAAGAAGTCCTGGTTTACCTAATATAGATTCACTTTTCACACCGTACTTAATTTTCTTGTAAGATATGCTTGATTTTTTTTGTTTTATAGAATATATATTACCAATAACTGGATCACATGAAAGAATTTTCAATTGTTTTCCATTCAAAACTTAAAACTGTTTTTAAACATATTTTTTACTGGTTGTTTTAAAAAATATTTACATTTTGATTGTTGGACCATATCTTGAATTTTCTATGGATTTAAACTGTTATTTTCTTTCCTTTCATTACTCTATTAATTAATAAAATATCAAGAGTTACATTTTACATTATCAGTTTCTTTTTATACTTTTAATGTCAGTTATCTCTCTCTACCATTTATATATTAAGATCTGAGATTTCCTCCTACACCATTCGTTCTCCTTAGTGCTGGTTTGCCTAACAACCTTTAGTCTTAAAGCATTTCTTATAAATACTGAATTGGTTCTTGATCATGGCCAGTGAAATCTCTCTACCTTAATTTGCCCAGTGTCCTTTTTACAGAAAGAGCTGTGTTAGACCTTTGTCTTGATAATATCTCTGGTCATAATATATTCTCAAAAGAATCTTAAGTTTAATTCTTATCTTTTTGGCAAAGTGAGTGTCCAGCATGAAAAGGCTTAAGGACTTAGTTAGTTAATGCATTACACATGTCTAACTTCATGTTAAGGTTTCTTCTCTATTTCTATTCTAGTTCAAATCACACTTCCTAGGAATAAGTGGCATATTGATGTGTCTATACTCTGGCATGTTTTATACTATTAGTTAAGAAAAAAGATTAACATTGGGTTTGTTAAGTCCTTAAATGATCTTACTTGCTTAGTGCTATTTCCTTGATCCTCCAATCAACTTCACCTCAATTTGTTAGTATATAAAAAAAAAATTAAAAAATAATATTTAAACACAAAAGTATGAGCATCTTAATATATTTTACAAATGTCGAGTTTACATAGTATTATATGTATCATTATTCCATTCATTTAGTTGTACATAATATTTTTGTATATATATATTTTTTCATTATGCCTGTTGGACCTTAGTTCTTTTTATAGTGGTTCATTTGCCTAAATAAATTTTGCAATCAAATACTAATTTTGTATTAATTTATATATGACCAATAGACAAATGAACCAATATATATTTATATTTATTCATTATTTATCATGATACAGGCCAAAAATGGACCATGCATTTATCATTTCTCCTTTTTTTACTCTTGCCGATATTCTTCTCATCTTTTCTCCCATCTCCCTCTTTCTTTCCTTTGTCCATTTTCTCTTCTTCTCCACTGCAAGAATTTTTATATTTTTCACTATCTTCCCGAATTCGTCCCTATCTTGGCAGTCTTCCTCTTTGATCCCCATTTTTTCTACTTCTTTGTTTATTTGTTTGGGATAACCTTTTATGTTCTTCAGTCCCATTACTTTATTGAATATTAGTTTGTTTAGCGTATTCCGATCCATTCTCTTCATATGCTCACAGAAATTTAATCTCAATCTTTAAGTCATTATTCAGTGTGTGTAACTACCTGTTTTTTTTTCCTCATCTCCTCCAAACTCTTCTTCTTTCACAGGATTGTACATTATTAAATATAGTAATTAAATATATTACACATTTAATTTTCTCTTTTTAGAGCACTAAGAATGGAAGTACTAGTAGTCTAGATAAGTTGGAAAGACCATCACCTAGCAAAACTCCTCTCAAAGATCCATTTTTGGATCCAGAAGTGTTGTCACAATTCGTACAGGAAGTTGAAAAATTTGAGAAATTCGTTGAAGGTTTGAATTCTAAAACTCTCAATGGTCCTACCCCTTTAGATATTAAATGGAATGAACTTCAGGAATTGCAGGTATAATATCAAAATTGAAAATACTACTATCATAAGGATTAAAATGAAACACAATTTACTGACAAATTATTTAGCATATAATGGCATTTACTACTTTATTTTAATTTTTCAAGATTAATTAAACTAATTATATCTAGTATGAACATCTCATGATTATTAGAAATTATGATAATCTTTACAGCATTATGGATTTTTATGATTCTTTTTAATTTCTGTATTTGAGAAATTCCTAAATTATCATATTTGGTTTGTGTGGCGCTGAAGAAATTCTAAAAAATAGGCTGACCCATCAGCATACATTAGATAGTTTTTCATTATTTTGTGTTTTATTTTGATCCTCTCCTAGATAACTAAGGTCTGCTATTTTATACATGCAGTACATAATGTTCAGTATTTGTTATAAGTTATAAATATGACAAAATGATTGTTGTAGGACAAAGATGCTCACAAGCAAATTATTTCTGTTGCAAGATGTTATCCTATGAAAAACAGGTTTCCAGATATTCTACCATACGATTGTACCAGAGTTGAATTACCCTCAACTAAAGATGACTACATAAATGCCTCACATGCAAAGGTATTAATTCCTCTATTATCGTTGAACAATAAGCTAAAAGATCTATTTATTATACTGTAAAAAACACTTTAAATTAAGTTTTTTTTCAGTTTTTATTAGTAAAAATTAAAATTGCATCTTTCTTAGTTCATAAGATTTGAAGATAAAATAAAAAAATCACTCAAACAACATAATTTATCTAAACCCCTCCAAAAAAAATTATGGGATAAAAGGAAAATTTGCAATGAATATATAAAATTATTTTTTAATTAAGAAACATTATCTTTATATAAAAAAAAAAAAAGGAAAACAAGGGTGGATGAATTTAATATTTGTAGAACAATTAATTTGATTTTGATACATAATTCTCTATTATTATATTCATAAAATAAAAAATAAAACAAACAAAAATTCCAACATTAAAATTTAATTTTAATTTTATTTCTGTATTCTGTGCCTTATTTTTTAGGAATCCCTTTTATTATGTGAAGACATACATCTGTGTTTTTAGGCTTTTCTTCAATGATTTGCTCATGCCGTTCTAAGAAAACAACTGGCTCTAATCCATAACATCAACTCTAGAATATATTTATGACTTTTTAAATATATACAGAACTTGAACAATTATTAATCCCACAATAAACAATGGCATTAATTTTTAAAAAACAAAAGAACGTTCTTTTACTAATATCAGTTCATTATTCTCTCTATATTTGTTGTATCAAATTTAACTTTTTGTTTAGTTTGACTTTGATAATTTGTTTTTGATTAAAAAAAAGTTACAGTTCACCATAAACATTTAATATGAACACTTAAAACAATTTAAATACCTATTTTTCTGTTTATTTTAAAGGAATTGAGGCCATATGCACCGAATTTCATTATGACACAGGCGCCATTACCATCTACTTATTCTGATTTCTGGACTATGGTCATAGAACAGCATGTTGAGCTTGTTGTCTGCCTTCTTTCTGATTCTCAGGTATGTTTTCAGTTGTGAAATTTTTATCAAATTTCTATAAAAAGGAAAAATTAATATTCTTTTTATATTATCTATTTATTTTATTTAGATGAACCAAGAAATATATTGGGCTGTAAATAAAACTGAAGATTTAGTTCTCGGTAAAATTAAAGTGTCGTTTCAAAGTCAAAATAATAAAGCTCACTGGATTGAAAGAATAATTTCTGTTTCTGATGGGAAGACTTCTAGAGTTGTCGTCCACCTACAATTTACATCATGGCCTCATAGGTAATAAATTATCTATTACAAAATTAATAATTGCTTTAGTTTATTTTGCTTAATGAAGCATGCTTTTCACATTTAAGTGATAAAGCAATTATCAATATTTTGTTTTACATGTTATTGAGAATTTTTAATGTTACTAGTTTATTACAAATATATTAGGACTATACGGACTTCTTAAAAGCAACTTTTTGTTCAATTAGTAGTCAAATTATTTATATATTTTATGGCAATCTGCTATATATTTTATAAAGGGCAAGTACTATATTTTCAAAAAAAATAAAATTTCAAAAGAAAATATTTTTTGATTCAAAATGATGGCATGATGGAAAATTATTTTCTAAAAAGACTACTTTCTAAATATTATTTGTTGCACTCAGTACATTCTTTCAATCTGAAGGACAAAGTTCAATAACATAACAACACATGGCTTCAGATGTTGATGCCATTTTCACTAAGTTATTTCCTTTTAATTGAACGAGAGCTCACAGCTTATGTTCATACACCGTTTTTTTAAGATGGCCGAGAGTATTGGGATATAGTAACCTTAAGTACTTCAAGTAGCAGTGTCAGTTAGAATCAGGCCTAGGGAGTAGAAATTTATTTTTGGCAGACCCACAGAATGAATCTTGACCCTTCTATTCTTGTTTCTCATTAGAATAGGTTGGTTTCCTATAGAATAATGGTATAGTAGGTTACCTCTTGCCTGCCTCTGAAATTCTCTTTATTGATGAAATACTTCATTAGCCTGTGGCTTTTTTTTTTTTTACTTTCACTTACCTGTTTATGCAATATATAGTAAGGGTAAGTATTGCAATCGTGAAAATTTTGGAATCAGAGTTTTCATCAGAAATATGTGTTTTGATGTCTCCTGAGTCCAAATAACCAAGTTCTGCAAAATGGTTTGTGTGAACAGTCTAGCTCAAAAATGAAAAGTCTTATGAAAGTGAAATTACATATTTAAGGTTTGTGTATTCCTTGGATATTACAGCAACTTTTTCGTCAAAATCGGCTTACTGAAAGTGACATTTTATATAATAGATTTAACATATTTTTAGGATTTTCTTGTAAACGGCTCTAATGATTTTGATTAAACTCAGTATATCAGTGTATTATTAAGCAGTTTTTAGTATAATGTAGGTTTCATTCTCATTTATGCATTTATCTCATCTAACAGGGCTTAAATGGCTAATTTTCAATATTAGCTTCCTCTGAAGTACCTTTAATTATTCTTATTTGAAATAATCAACCATTTCATATTAATTGTTGATATAAAATATAACAGAATTTGATAATTATAATGTTGGAGTGGGTTCCTCGCCTTCGATCTACTGTCATATTATGCTCATTCCGAGGTAACCGTAAAATTGCGGCCAGCATCGAGCACTCTCGATAGTCTCCGAACGTCCTTCGTTAGTTCTCGGTCCCATTTCATTAAACCTTAACCATCCCAAAAAAAAAAAATAAAAAATACCCACAATGGAATGTAAAGATATATAGCATCTATAATTTTTACTTTCACTTCCCCTTTGTCTGAAATTACTTATATTTGCTAAGAAGAGGGTGGTAAGTAAAATTTGTGTAATGCGCGCATCAGATTTTATTTTTTGAGAGGAGAACTACAATTTGCAAAATAACATTTTTTCAATGTCAACAATAGTTTCTGACTTCAGATCAGAATATATCACATAACTTTCATGGTTACAAATTCATTGTTGTCTTCTAATGATTTGTTAAACTCTTAATAATAAAAAAGCTTTCTCACACAAGTGTCAGGCTATTAGTTTCCCATAAGTTTTTTTTTTGTTTATATCTATGTGAAGGAAACAAACTGAAAAAAATATTAAATATATTTCTCAGCACATTTTAATTTCTTTGTGTTGTTATAATTTTTTATAAGCTTCATATAAATTGTAGGGACGAGCAGTATTTTTTTTTACATATATAGAATACCATTTCAATGATTAAACATATTTCAAATATCAAGAATTGAAAAATATGATTTATTATTTTGTATTTTTCAGTTGGATGCCTGAATCTCCGGGGCCATTTTTGATGCTGGTTAGTGAAGCAGTTAGCATCTGGTCTCAGCAAAGAGGTAAGGGGCCAATGGTGGTGCACTGTGATTCCGGAGTCGGCAAAACAGGCTTATTTGTTTTGCTCCTGATATCAATTTGTGATCTTCGGGTATCTCCACATCTTCCTGATCCTATCAATATTTCTGGTCAAATCGCTTCATTTAGGAAGAATCCTTTGCGTGACAGAGCTCATTTGTCTTTTGCCTATCATTGTGTCTTATATCATGCAAGAGACTTGCTTTTGAAAAGTTAGTGTTACTAGTTTCTGTAAATATATTGTTGTAAAAATATATTTCATTAATACTAATATTTATTTTAGGGGGTATATTGGCGAGTAGGTCTACATTTGAGGAGAAAAGGACAAAAACTAAATCTCATACAAGACATCCTTCAGAAGATTTTTTGTTAAATTCTTTTAAGGAACAAAATGAAGAGCGCCGTCGTTCAGGTGAATTATGATATGGATATTATTCATTTATAAATTATTTAAGAGTGTTAAAAAGTACATGAACTTGTATTTTATTTTCAGATGCAAGCAGCACTGGCAGTGGAAGCAAACAGCTCAATGAAAATGATCCGCTTAGTCAGATCGACCCTCTCTGGCCGATCAAACGTTTTTCATAATTGAAACATTCCAATTTCAGTGTCGGATAAGAGTTGGTATTTTTATTATTGAAAAAAGGGTCCATTTTATATGACTAATAGGTGTTAATATAACATATATGTGTTTTTCTATGTACTCTGATACCCATTGCGGATATTATCGAATAGGTCTTTTCATAATGTAGTACCTAATTCAAGAACTAGTGTTTTTCAGTATTATTCTCATTGTATAGTGTGTTATAAGGAAGTCTTTTAACTGTTATGGTTCTAGTTTAGAAAGAGAGAAGGAATAAGATTTTATTGTTATTTATTTTATCTATGTTTTTTCCATTCAAATTATCGTTGTTCTTTTTTCCAGTGGTAGAATAAAATAACTTAAGGAAAAAGAGTTGGTGTCATTCATTTTAATATCAGACGTAGTTATCATTATAAGATCAATAAATAATCTTTATTTGGGGACGAACATGTTCAGAGAGATCCAGTTCTCTTATATGATTTATTCATTACTAAATTATATTTTTATAGATAGTAACAAACTATAAAAGCAGTTATTAAAATTTATTAGTTAGAGATTTTTATAAAAAAAGTTATAATGCAAATAAACAATTTTTTTATTAAATTACTGTTTTAAAATATGATTTACTGTTCTAATTTTCAAATAAATCACTTTTATATCAAAATTTCATTGATTCTTAATAATTTAAGTAGAATTTAAGTCATTAAGAATCAATAATATAAGTAAGGCACTGTTTATGTGAAGTTTTTTGTTTATTAATCTTACAGTATTTTCTTGAAATATTATCTCTCAAAAAGTATTTAGGCTAGGACTATGATTTGGTTTACAATCCATAGTGTATCTTTGACACTAAATAAATAATTGCAAGTTGTGGATTCAACAACTTGATTGGTAATTATTGTGAGAAGGAAAAAGAAACTTTGTTCACATAATCATAATATGCTACAATTAATCGATATTCTATATATTCACTCAAAAACAAAATTATAATTTTATTGCTTAATATATATCGGTGGTACCTGTGAAAAGTGTGTCAAGTGCAATTTTATGAATTTTCATGTGTATCTCCATAAAGCTAATTTTCCTCTCTTTCTTTGTGTTGGCTAATTTATGTTTATATTGCAGAGATAAACATCCTTTTGTGAATCATCAGGTGAAATTTGATAATTGAACTTGCTCCTGTGAAGATTCAAAACTTTTAATTGCATTTTTCCTTAAATATGATTTTTGAACTTAACACACTACACACAGATGCCACTGATACATTAGATTATTGCAGCCCTTATAGTTTTGGATTCATATTTCAAAGGGAACATTTTAATAGTTTTCCAATTTTTTTAAAAAAGTCGTACTGCACTTCATCAATATATAAACTTACAGAATCACCTCTTTAATAATTTGTTTAATTTTTAATTGGTGACAAATTCATTAATATTGAACCGTTATTTAAATTTTTTCTTGTCATCCTCAGTAAATCAGTTATTGATAATAGAAATATACTCAATTGTTACCAATTGGAAGTTATTATTGCCAAATAACTAAAAGTTATTTTCAAATTTTTAGTGGCAAATATACCTAATTTTATGATTGCCACCAGTTAATTTTGAATCTGAGTTTATTTTTTATTGTGTTGGTTAATGTATTTGGTTTTTTATATTATTGAATATTTATGATTCGTATAAAACATTTATACATAATATTAACATGCAGATGGTGATATTGAATTTAAAAATCCACCACCTCATGCTGTTATATTACGAAGGTCATGATGTTATTCCTTGTTGCTTGTCACATTACATTAAGATACGTTAAGTTAGGTTATTGGCATTGTTTTGATCAGAGTTAATGTTTCATAGATTTTCTCGACGGATGTAGACAATTCATGGCAATTTAAATTGATTACGGCCAACTAGCCAATCAGAAAAGGTTATGTGACAAAAGTGTACTTATCAGCAGTAATAGAATTTGTGCTCCTGTGTGATAAAATTAAGTGTGATTAAGTTATTATGAAGTGTTATTTGGGCAACTTGGTGGAAAGTTAAATTATATGAAATTGACTGACATATTAAAGGCTGCTTCTTTAAGTTAGTTTTTTTTTTTTTTTCATTAAAGAGCTGATGCTTGAAATATGAAAAAGTATATTTATATGTAATTTTATCTAAAATAAATATGATTATGTGATTACTTCATAACATTATTAAGTAACCTGAAAAAAAAAAAAATAGTAATATCTTAAATATAGCTCTTTAAACTAGTGGTTTGGTTTGGTTGGTACTTCTTATGTTAAAAGTATATTTTATAAAATTATCCTATTTTGAAAGAACTATTTCATAGCTGTTATATATTTTAATTTATAATTGTCTCTTAACAGTAATGAAGAGATACTTATAGTTTACAGCTTTACAATTTTTTTTAAATAGTACTAAATACTTGCATTTGATTTATTAATTTATTGGGTTTAGATGAAAGTTTGAATATTATTTATTAAATATATTAGTGTTAAATAAATATTTAGTTGTATCAATGCTTATGGCTTATTTGTAATGCATATTTTATGTTATTGATAATTGTGGTTTATTATACAATATCCTTGCCTATCATAATCAATTTCATAATCTGGAAAGTTATCATATTTTGTTTTCTGCCAACTACTTAAAGGAGGCTTTGTCCAACAATTTTAAATGATTGTATTGCCGTAATAAAAGGTTTTTTAATTTCATGATTATGAAATGTTTGTTAAACAATACATTATTAAAAGCTGTAATAATTGGTAAATGCATTTTTAGGATAACTGAATGATAGTTTATCTTTAATTACTGCTTTGGAAAGTCGATAAACAAAGTGGCTGTGTGTTTAGTGTTAATGTATTTATAAAGTTCGAAATCAAATTTTAAACTATGTAGGCTGAATTAATTTCACTGTTGTCATTGCTGCCTTTCTCTTAAAATTGAAACCATAACAAGGGATAATCAATTTTATTTTTCATATTTATATTTGGATTTTGTACAGCAATGTTACACATCCTTGATGGAAAAACAATTTTTTTTAATGTAGTAATTAATTTATTCATTTTTATGATGAGCTGCTTTTTTCAACTTAGTTCAATATTAAACCACCAGTTTATGCTGTTTCGGAAATATGTAATGAAGTACATTTATATAAAATGAATGAATTATTTATTTTCCAATGCACATGGTGTGTTTCTTTATTTCATTTGAGGATAATTATTCTGTCTAAAATTATGTTTGATCATTCAGATCTTTTTTGTTCTCATAATCTTAAGATGTTTCATCAAAGTATTAGTTATTTGTTTGGTATAGTTGATAAAATCTCTGACATGTTAAATTCCATAGTATAAAAAATATAGTAATTAAGAATTTATAAAAACCATCTTTTTACTGTAAAAAGGAATTTATAAATATTGTTGTATCACCTATTTTACTTTTCAGTAGGTTTGTGATGTTGAAGAAATATGCTTTATTGTATTTGTATATAGTAAGGATTAACAGACAAAGTCATTGTATATTTATTTTTTTAGAGTAAATAAAAAATATGTGATTAATCCATTTTATCCAGATTTGTAAAAATATTACATGTTATTAAACTATGATTGGTGTTTTATTGAATTATTTTCATAACTTGAAAAAAAAAAAATAGTATTGATGTTCATTAATAAAAAATTGATTTTTTAGGAAAACAGACAAAAAAAAAAGACTCAATTTTATTTTATTCAATAGATATTTTAATGCGGTAAGAAATAATAATATATTTTATTTATTCTTGTACAACAACCTGTATTAAGAATAATACTATTGTAGGATTTAGAGCCTTAGAGTTTTATAAAAGAAATAATAAAATAAACAATAAATAAATTTAAAAAAAAATACTTAAAAACAAATATATAAGCTAGCTGATAATTAATATACATATTTACATGAAAATCTATTTACAATTTCTCTGGAACTGGATAGATAGAAAGTGATTAAACGGGCAAGATTTAAATTTGGGTAAGGTATTACATAGGGACGAGGATCAAACAATGAAAGATTTGCTGAAAACTGCTGTTCGGTTTGCCGTTGTAGATAAATCTGAAGACTGGAAAGTATTATTGCGGGAATGAATAGATGATTTGAAATGTATAAGGGAGGGCGGGATTGGATGACTTGGTAGAGAAACAATGCCAGCAAATATTTACAATGGTAGGAAGGATAAAGTCACTTTAACCTCTTCATAAAAACTGAAGACAGAGGATGTTGTGTTTCTAAATGTTTGTTATTCAACAGATTAAGACATTTAATTTTGTGGTTTAATAAATCCGTGGTCTTATGAACTATTTTATAATTTTTTTCTTTTTGGTACTAAACAAAGAAGGATATTCTTATTTATTATTATTGGAGGTAGTACAAAGGTGTATAGATTATAAAGGTGAGTGTTATATAAAAAGTTTGCTAAAAACAATTTTTCTGGTGTTGATAATACTTTTTAGAGATACCTACATATGTTAATATATGGTAACAGTGTGTCAAAACCAATAATTTATAAATGTGAAAACTATTTGGTGGCTCCTTTTTCATGAACATGGTTTCAACACCACCCTGTTAAGTATATGATTTTTTACAAAGTGCTCAAGAAATATAACTATTTATCCAAGAGTGGGTAATACAAAAGCAATATTAATTACTTGTTAAAAATAGTTGATGGTGAAAGATAATTGAACCGAAGTAGAATTTATTTTTATATAACATTGCAAGCACCATTGTTATCATGAATATTACAGTTTCTTTATTTCTGTTTCTACTATTAATTTAAAAGTTACACTAGTTCAAATTTACAGAGTGAATGTACTGCAGCAATCTCTTGCGTCAGAAACAGATATCAGTTTTATTCTAGTCTGAGAGTTGACTTAAATTGTTATGTTTTACACAGAATCAATCTACTTAATTGAGCTGGAATAAATCTAAAGTTTGTTGAATTACATGACCTTCCTGTTCTAGTTGGAGTACATTAGCATGCTAACCACAAAACACAGGTGACGTTTAATCGGTTATTCAATTTTTTTACAGACTTAACAACTTATTTTAACTTCCCCTCGTTAACAATTATATTGAAATATGTAGATGCTATTTAAGGCTTAACCATAAGAAAACCATCTTTCCTCATTGCTCATCATTCTTCAACAATAAAAGATACATAGATGGAAGAAACATAAAATGTTACTTAAAGCATTCATTATTTGACTTTAAATGATAATATGACCAGTAGTGGATTCAGGATTAAATTTTGAAAGAAGGGAGGGGAATATTTACTTTGTTTTGATAACCCTAATTTCAGAAAACTGCTTTCAGTGATAAAATGTTAGTATTTTTCTTGACTTTTGCTTATATTTATTAGCTGATGCACAGGTATTATTATTAAAAAACGGAACATATTGTGATTGTAAGTATAATAATTAATTGGCCGTTTTTTAAATTTTTGTATGAGTTAAAATCTAATTAAATAATTAGTAGTTATTCCTATGAATGCTGTATAAATACATTTTCTTAATAGAAATTACTATATTTGTACTCAAAGCTTCCTCACTGAGTGAATAAGATGGATATAAACTTACTAAAGATGCGTTAAGATATTTCACAAACTATTGGACAAACAAATATATAAATGGTTATTTCACTAATCTAGTGTTTTTGTTTCTTGTTGATATTTTCCATCTGCTTTCGGTATCAAGAGAACGAAAATAAATCATTTTGTTTAGCAATAATGTCACTCTTAGTTAAGTTAGATAATTTTTTCCCGGTCACCTTATTACTTTTTTTATTGCTGCTGTAGCTCAATGAAGAATATATATATATATATATATATATATATATATATATATATATATTCTTACGTGTATACATATCTTTTATTTTATTTAGGATTCCATACCAAAATAATAAACATTAATTTAATTGAGACATGTAATTTTAAAACATATTAGTAAATTCAGTTACCTAAGTAATTCCTTTTTTTTATTTCAAGTATTGTCTAGTGATGGCAGAACTGAAATTTAGGCTCTGAGTTCGGTATTACCGTTAATTTCTCATAATCGGTTTGTGAATATCTTAAAATCTTTCCCTGCTTCTATTATGTGTAAAACAGCTGGTTTCCCCCGGCAAAACCTTTTCGAAATTTTGATTAACAAGGTTAATGCGTTAGTGTTTCGCACGCCAAACTTTTTCAAATCTTTTGAGGTTCATAATTGGCTATTAATGACTCGAAGTTTCAAGACCAAAGTATGTCCTACTGATTGTCTGTCGACCTTTGCTAAGGTAAGAACATTTATTCTGATAATTATCTACTTTATTTTACTGTGTGCTATGGGTTATTTATTAATTTTGTGGTATTCCATAATATTGCACTTACATTTATTAAACACTTAATGTATAACAGTTCATTTAAGTAAACGTTTTTATAAACCAACAATTATTTATGTTACTAAAACCATCCATAATACACAGTATTTAGTTTTTACTCATAATAGGTATTGTTTAATATTAATAGATCACTGAGATATTTATATTTTACTGGATATTTACTGTTTAAAAACTAAAAAGGGTTTATGTTAATTTGTTATAAGTACATGCATTTCAGTTAGAAGGACAAAACAATAGAATTATTGACATGATAAAGGGATTTTGAGACAGCTCATTGTTCCTTTAAATATGGGAAATATCAACCAAAATTTCCAAGTTGGTAACCACAAATAACTAGACTTAAGAAGTGATCAGTGTGTGAACAGCCTAGCTTGAAAACGGAAAATTGTACGAATTGAAATTATGTATTTAATGTAGGTGCCTGGGGCAAGGTCTATATAAGATTCACAGTTTCTCTCACTCAGAAATGCGTTGTGGGGGTGATTTGAATCGTGACGTAATGACTAGACCACTAAACCTTCCCGCTGCTCTTTCAAGCCTATAACTGAATAGACGAAGAGCTACCGCCGTTTTCATTTAACGGAAGGACTTACCATTACGGAAACCATTATAAATTATAGATAATCCTCACCTGAATACGCAACTCCGGTCAGTCGCTTGAAAGCTCTTGCTTTATACAAGGATATTTAAATTTAAGAAGCGAAATTTTACTGTTCATTTAACGGAAGAACATTCGGCTGAAATTTTGATACGATGTCAAGAATATGTCTCTAAAAGAGAATTCACCTTAACTGGCGATGTTATCTGTTGAATTTTGAAAACTGACGCGTCAAAATCATCAAATTAGACCAGTCAGAAGGTAGTTGGATGAGCAAA